ATAAATCACTTCAAATGCATAAGCTTTTGAGAAACTTCAGCCATTATTTCTACTTCATAAGTGACACATGTTATGAAAAACACTCATGAACATGGTTACGGTTTAGATCCAAAGTGTCCCCCAAAAGCCCCATGTGTTCAGAAGTGAACCTTTTAGAATGTGATTAGATCATGGGCACACTATACTCATTATTGGATTAATCTGCTTTTGACTTCATATCCAAATGCATTCTTAGGAGGTGGGGCCAGGTCAGAAAAGATGGGTCACTAAGGGTGTGATGGAGAAGAGGATGTTCATGTCCCCGACTCTTCTTTCGGTTTCCTGGCTGCCATGAGCAGCTTTCCTCTGCCATGTCCATTTTACCTTGAAGCCAGCCAATTGTGGGCTGAACCCACTGAACTCATGAGGCAAAATTAAGCTCTTCTTTAAATTGCGGATGTCAGATATTTTGTCTCAGGACTAGCAATCTAATTAATACAAGTATTTAGCCTTACCCATTGAAATTATGGAAAAAACTGTTATTTTGTTCCCTTACTTTTCTATCATTGTATTTTTCCTGGTTTAAATGCTGTTCTTTTTTTTTTTTTTTTTTCTGGTTGTACTATGGAAATCAAAGTAACAAAAGTTAGGTAGAAAACACTTATCAATATTGTGATCCGTAGTTATCAGAAATACTTGCCTACAAAAATGTGGTTTTATAAGAGAAGAAAGGATATGCCATGCTGGCAAAAGAAGAACTAAAAAGAAGTTCAGAAATAAATGGTATCAGAAAGTTTAATGAAAATGGCATAAAACCTAGAGTTGACATTCCCTGTTCACCCTTGCCACCTCTTTCTGAATTTTCCCCACTTATTCTTTACCTTTCCGTTGTGGTGTCTCCATTCTCCCTTTACTGCTGTGTCATCATTTTGTAAAATCCTAGGACACTGATGTTTTATTCAGAGAAACTGTTTCAAGTAATTGCAGAACCACCCGTTTGAACCTGCCCCTGATCTCAGGGACATGTTATATCTCATGGGAGGTAGAGAGGGAAAGGTTGCATTTAAGGGCTTTATTTTGTCAATCAAATGGCAAGATAAAAGAGGCTGCTTTTTCTTTAAGGAGTGACAGATTGTATTAAAAGATGAGAAATATTTTTGACGGAGTAGGAAGAATTTGCCCATGATCCTAAAATAATATTGTGGAGTCTCTCCTTGCCCTGTCTTCACATACAGTTGATGCTAACTAAAGGAGCAGAAAAAGTTAATATTGATTACAGGGATCACAGAAAAGCTTGCGAATGTAAGACTCTACCAGAAAAAAAACTTTAACTATGATACCTCAGAATTCTTGGACAAAAATAGCTTCAGTTTCATTTAGCATGTTTATTAGAAATGATTTGAGCTTATCATCTCTAATGTAGAGGTTGTTTCAGAGAAAAGTCTTCTAATCTCATATCTTCCTCTGTTTATACAAAGAATCGTTAGGAATAATTTTTATCTCTGTCAAATGATAATATTGTAGAGGTCTAACATTATACACACATCTTACTCCTCACATATGTAATTTGCTAAAAAGTAATTGTAGAGTTCCTAATGTGTAGAGTTCAGTATAAAACTTATAAGTATGCACATGTTTAAACTTCTTTCGGCATGTAAATCTCTCCTGGATGAGAAAAGTGATATTATGGGGAGAGAGAGTTAGAGAGGAAAACTGAAGCTAGGATTAATGCATGACTTCAGATATAATGCTTAACCTAAATAATAATGCAATCTCAAATAATGAGTTTCTCAGAGCAATATTATTATTCTTCGTTACTGGTTTGGGTAACAAATACATCTCATAATTGGAATAAGAGAAAATCATGAAAATCATGTTTTAATAAAAACACTTTTTAAAATCCCAAGCCATACATTAGATGTACCTCTTAAGATTTTGATCAGCAAAAATATGTTGCACAACTAAAAAGATAATTATCAAAATGCCTATCAAAGTCACTGAAATTAGAGCATTTTCTATTACTTTACTTCTGTGATATTCTTGATCACCTTACCCTATTATTGATCTAATCATCAATACATATTGAGAATCTACAGCAAAAGGAAAGGAAAAAGCTGAATGAGATATGAATGGGAATTCATTAAAGCTCCTGGCTTTAAGAAATATAAAGTCTAATAAGGGCTAAGACATATGCATAAGTAACAGGATCAGGTGAGCATGATGAACAGTGATAGTCTATAAGAAGAGATCCCTGATACTGCAGAGCTCAGGATACCTTCATGGAAATGAGTTTAGGGTACATAGTCTTATCAGATTACAATGGAATATTATTCAGGATTTAAAAGGAGTCGGGTCTTGATACGCCATACACAATGGATGTACCCTGAAGACATTATGATAATCGACTAAAGCAGACACAGAAAGACAAATCTTGTGCAGTTCCTTAGAATATTAAGATACAGAAAGTAGAACAGAAGTAACTGGGGTATTATTATTGTTTTTTATGAGTACAGTATTTTAGTGAGATGATGGGAAAGAGTCTGGACATGATAGCAGTGTTTGCACAACACTGTGAATGTCCTTAATGCTACCGAACTGTATTATGTTACGTATATTTACCATAAATTTAAAAACCTCTTATTGGGAACAGACAAAATGCTCCCTATCTCAGATTTTGCTTAGTTTAACAGTGAGGACCATTTTCTTTGCTTGTGCTAACTTCTGCTGTAAACTGAGATTAGACATTTTTTTGTCTTTCAAACGGAGAATAAAAGAGTATTTTCAGCACATTAGTTATCACTGTGTGTGTATGCATATTAATTACATGTATGCATACTAAGAGTTACAGATTATTTTTCTTCTTTTTCTGGATTTATCATCAATTTAAGAAATAATTTGCAGGGCCAGGGATATAACTCAGTGGCATAAGCACCTGTCAGGTGCTAGGTCATGAGTTCAATCCCCAATACCAAACCCCCCCCCAAAAAAAAAACAAAACAAATTTTGTGATAAGAATATCAAGTATGCTTCTTCTTTTTTTTTCCCCAGTAGTTACAGTCAGAGGTTGTTTCTGCACAATAATCTTAAAGAAAATACAAACAGATGAGTATGGTGGTGCATGTCTGTAACTGCAGCTGGGAGACAGGGCCCAAAGGACCCCAAATTTGAGTCCAGATTTGGTAACTTGGCCACAGAGAGATGCTGTCTGAAAAAAAGAAAAAGAAATAAAAAATAAATGCTGAAGATACAACTTTTTTAAAATTTTATTTAAAGAAAAACCAAACAAAATAGAAAATGGGCAGAAATAGTGCATACTTTCAAAGAAAAGAAATAGTAATAAATCACTAGCTGATGTATACATATTGTCCCCCTATAAATAGTTGTTTAAGGTACACAAGTAGAACATATAAATGGGATTTCAGCGAGGGAGACTGCAAAGAGTACTGTTCAACTGTCCAACAAAAACTAAGTATTATGGCTATCAATCCTATACACTTGGACATGTACACATTTATCCATATCTTAATTTGTTATGTTTCTCCCTTCCTAAGGATAGAAATACATTTTAAGACTCATGCTTATGTAAAACCTATAAACAGTTTATGAGAACTGATCTGATGACACATGATGAAATGAACAAAAACATTGAAGGAAAGAAAGTGGCCCTGCAGTACCCACTCCTGATCCCGGAGTGTTATGATGTGAAATCCAGCAATATTATTGATCTTTGTTTGGAAGGATTTTAATCTAAGAAGATATAACTTAATAGGAAGGCTTACATACTGAAAATGAGAAAAAAAAGGAAAGGAAAGAAAACACAAACATGCATATGTTCTCTGAGTTTCTGCATGTAGGATTAGATGCTGTAAGATGACAAAGAGCTGGATCTCAGGAAAGGCCTGAGCCAGGGGCAGCATTGCCTGGTTTCCATCTAACCCTTCCTGTGGGCTGGTCGGTGACACTGTGTCTGAAACACGCTCCTGTGCTGTTAGGGGAAGCACAAAGTGAGCACACCTGTCATTAGTCCCCTTTGAGTGGCCTCTGAGGAGGCTGCAGGTGGAAGAGCTGCAGAGCACAGCACAGGCTGCTCTCCAAGCAGAGTTCTTCCAAAGTGAGCCTCGTTAGAGGGCCATCCTGTAGCGTATATGAGACATATGAGAAAAGCTGTGGTGAATGTTGAACTTTTTATATTATTATTATTATTATTATTACAGTCAAAGACACATGCCATGAACCCCCAATCCTTAGAATGCTATCCCTTGCTCCATGCACACTTATTCCATTCTTTATGCTACATTTTAAATTATAATATGTCTGTGATACACAAAGAATCATAATAATAAATTGGTACATACATGTATCACATTTTTATCCTTTTTACTTTCCCACTGCCACTTTCTAAAGCAGTTCTGGGAGTCTTCTTTCATAAGTATCTTTATGAGACATGGTAGCAAATATAGTAAATGCTGCTACCAAGTGCCATCTGCAGAAAGGCAGTCTTGCAAAAGCACTGTGGTGAATCCTCATTTACCTAATCAACCAGATCTGACAGTGTGTGACTTCTGGCTCGTCCCCAAAGTCAAAATGATCACCAAAGGTGAATGCTTTGAATTGGCAATACATCAAAGCAGCAGCACCACAAAATTAAACGTACTCATGCAAAAACACTCCAAAACTGCTTCAGAAAATGCCAAGACCAATGAGATAAGTGTGATGAAAGTGAGGGGAAATATTTTGAAGGGATAAATGACAATGTGTCTTTTACTGTAATTTTTTTACCTTTAAACATTCAGGAAAATATATATATATATGTACTTTCAAACAAAATGGAACCCTCACAGTTTTTACACAGTTGTGTCATATACATGAGCCAACTCCACACAAGGAACATAAACATTATATACTAAAAACTGTTTTCTCACTTAAGAATGCTTGCATCATCGCTGTTACCTTGGAAACAGTTGAAAATGAAAGTAATGTGTCAGATGATAAACCAGACTCTTTTTCTTTTTAAATATCAGAGCAGAATACAAACCAGAGAAACTTCCCTCCCATTCCTTTGAAGTTGACCACGAAGATGCCGACAAGGATGAAGTAAGTGCTCGGTTACAGGTGAAACATTTAACCTGGTGGTAATTAGTTCTTGTTTTTTACTGGCGTTTGCACATTCTGGCCAGTTTGCTATGAGCAGCAGAAGCTTTGGTGATGGAGCTGCTAGACAAAGTGAACCACATTAGTTTTGACCTGGAATATGAGTATTGCAGAGAGTCTAAGAGAGGAAAAGGAATCTCCTCTTTAACGACAGTGTACGAGATGTGGGATGCGGAGATGTGGGATTTGGAGATGTGGGATTCGCAGGGGCAGATGGATGCTCATGATACCTTTTGTACAGGACACCACTTCCCATTCGTCTTCCAAGGGCGGTGGGGGAACCGGAGGGTCTGGCGTTTTCAAGTCTGGCTGGCTCTACAAGGGGAATTTCAATAGCACCGTGAACAACACCGTCACTGTTCGGGTAAGGAAGCACAGAGACTGACTCCTCAGATACCACCTTTTTTTTTTAATTATTAGTACTGGGGATTGAATTCATGACCATACACTTGCAAAGTAGGCCCTTATGCCGCTGAGCTAAATCCCCAGCCCCAGATATCACCTTTCTTGATGCTCCTTCCTTTGATCTCAATGCAAAGGAGAAACATTTGACTAGAGTTTATGCTTCATGTAATATTTTATTTATGAGGAAGTTAGATGTTCTTTTCTAGAACAATGCCCTAGAAATATAGAAATTCCCAAGGACTTTAAAAAGTTCAACTTTTCATTTGCAATTTGAACATTTCCCCCTATCTTTTCCCTTTCTTAGTCATTCAAAAAGCGTTACTTCCAGCTGACTCAGTTGCCAGATAATTCCTACATTATGAACTTTTACAAAGATGAAAAGATTTCCAAAGAACCCAAAGGTTGTATCTTTTTGGATTCCTGTACAGGTGTGGTACAGGTGAGTAGAAATCTTGTTTTTTTTCCCTTTGGTGGTTGTTTTCACTGGAAAATATTCACAAATGTTTTTGGAGTACATAACATGAACCAATAACTGCTATAAACTCTAGGAATTCAGTGAAGAACAAGGCAGCCTAGATTTCTAGGTTCCACCAAACTTACTTCCAGTAGAGAAAAACAGGACATAAGCAAAGAAATAAACCAACAGAAGAGATTCAATTGGTAAATTTTTGAATAAAGAAATAGATAAATAGGATAATGGAAAGGAGAAATGAGTAGTAAGATTGGAAAAAGGAATACTAATGCTCAAAAGATAGGAAGAGCATTCTTAAAAGACCATTTGATCCAAGCAGTATAGAATGAGCAAGGGTACAAGTACGAAGAAGGTCCTGAGGCAGGAACAAGTCTGATGTGTTTATTCAAGGAAACTGACCCCCCATATGGGCGCAGTGAAGAGAACCACCAAGCTAAGGAAATTAAATAAGTTAATATGTCAGTCATATAAGTTAAAGTATACATTTCATAAATGTTGTGTTTATACCTACTTAACAAGAAGACAGAAAATTCACAATGTACATGTACTCTTTCTTTCTCAAACAACATTTTTTTCAAAGATAAGGATTATGTTGATCCCCAGGAATTTAAATTCAGAAACAGGCATAGTGTTTTAGTGTATAATGTTATTCTACAAATTCTTCATCTCCAGATGATTGTCTTAGTATTAATCTTGACGTAGACCACTGTGGCAAAGGGAAATAGAATGATTTTTTAGATCTTTATATTCCATAGACATCAGATATTCTTACATTCAAAATATTTACTCTTTCCACTCTGATGTAATATCTACCCTTATTCCCTCTTCTGTAAAAATTGAAGAAATGAAATCTGCCCCCATGTATCATATGAAACTCTGACTCCTTGAGGTCCGGGACCCTTTTCTGAGCACAGCCTTGCAGGACAGTACTTTCTGTGGTCAGTAAGCCCCAGACACCCACAGGGCTTGTTGGGTTATTACTGAGATGACATCTGAACTACTACTGGGGACATTTTTAGATCTGCACATGGGAAGTAGAGCCCTCTTCAGTCTGTTAATTCTCGCCTATTTCTGGACGGTTGCTCCATTAAAACCTGGAATTCCTCCAGAAAGCAAGAAAGCTGAATTTGAAGAGGAAAGAATTAATTAAGTGTTGCTGAGCACTCTTATAGAAATGAAATCTAATTGCTCTCTAGTGAAGACACTAAGTTTCCAGAGGAAAAGGACAATAAAGATCTTAATGGGCAGGAAAGAATTGTCTATTGTTAACAGAAAAAACTTTTCAAATCTAGAAATATGAGGTACATCCTTAGCAATTGCTTAGAGATCAATAATTACATTTTACAGACTGAGCTGAAATTTTAAAATATATTTTCCATTTGTACTTCAAAAGCTTGCTCTGTCAAATGAGTTTTCATTTGTAATGTCATTTGTTCTACATAGAGCTTGCAGTGATAGTGTCTATGCCATGTTTTTCTTCTTCAAAGAATCGAAGAACTGAGTGTTGAACCCATACCCACGTGCCCCAGTCTGAATTTCCACTGTAGCCCCTTCTCTGTTATTTATTACTGAAACAGTGAAAACACTAAAAAGTCTCTGCTTAAAGATCTTTGACAGAGATTCTTTTAGGTGAAAACACAAACTTACAGTTGGTGCAGGTCAGCCTTGAAATCCTAGTTTTGCCATTTTTTGATCTGCAACCTTTGAGTAAATGAGTCAACCTTTTTGTTCTCAGGTTTCTCATTGTTAAACTAGAACAACCATGCTAAAACATCTAAAGGTTCTGGATGATAGTGAATCTTCAGCCTTTCTTGCCTATTTCTATTCATTCTAAAGTTTACAACTTTGGAAGGCAGACATTCCTTTGATGGAAAGCCTTAGTAAATCTTGACTTGCTTTCTGAAATTTCAACACAAGTGTGCTAGTACATTTTTTATTTGCTTATTCATTTACTGATTCATCCATTCAACTGATTTATTTGGTGCTTGGAATATGCTAGAGTCTGTTCTTAGACAAAGGGAATTCAAACATAAGTCCATATCAGAGAAGGGCATGGCGTCAAGCTCACTATTACTGATACAAATAACCTGTAATGCAAATATGGATGGCAGAGTACATGAGAAATTCTGGAACCACAGAAATGTAACAACTGATGAAAATCAGGCGATAGGTCTACACCAAAAAAGCTGTCTCTTTCTGTGGGATTCCACAAAATATGTCTTCTACATGTATGATTGAAAAGGTTCATGTATTTGGCTTCCCTTTTATCAAAAGCTTTAATCCAATGTCATCTACATGTTTTCTACAGGCAGAGACTTTTAGGTTTGTGAGATGACTTGAGAGATGTAAGTGATTTGTCCACCTTGTGTTTGGGTCACACTTTTTCCATAATTGCCAGAAGTGTTCTAGCTTATAAGTTATTACATCTGGGTAGAAGATTTCAAGTGAGATAGTAAAAAGTTTAAGAATTGCTCTTGTAAGCTCTCAAGCACAAAATGTTCCTGAAGATGAATCACATATACACAAAAGCACAGAGCAAATGAGTAACTGTGTAAGAACCGGCGTCGCAGGGAAGAAGACCCCAAGGACTCAGCTCGTAGTGAGGAGTAAAAAGTTTATTTCCATGCGCATGGGGTCCCCCAGGCAAACAAGTGCGGAGGGCCCCGAGGGGGAATTGTGTAGGGTTTTTAAGGGCGCAAGCGGGAGGCAAGCAAGTTTACAGAAGCAGATTGCATTGGTTAATTTTGAGCAGCATAGGATTTGGCAGAAATTGATTGGAGGGGTTTGGGGTTGAGTAACCATGGAGACTGGGGGTCCTAGCCCAGTCACTATGTGCCCAGAACAGAACAGTTACTTGTCTTACTTATCTCCTTGAGACAGAACAACCTTGCAGGTGCATTTTCTTTTTTTTTTTTTCTCTGCTCTGATAGCTCTGGGGAGTTAGGGAGTTAACCCTTTCATTCCCCGCTCTGGGGAGTTAGGGAGTTAACCCTTTCACTGCAATGAGTCACAATAGTTTTATCAGGAAACATTGACAGTCTCTCTGGTAAATCACAGCAACAACCACAAAAAAATACAAACTCTGTCTCAAAAAGTGCTATCTACCATCTAACATTTTCATTGAGCTCAAACTCATAATAATTGTCAGTGAATATACCATTTTAACTTGCCTCATTCTGATCTGTAATAGTCTGGGTTTACCAGAGAAACAGATGTAACATATAATACAAGGTATACAAATGTATAAGAAATTAAAAGATTGGCTTACAATGGTCAGAGGTTGAAGGGTCCCAGCCCAAGGGCTGGAGGTTACTGCAGTGATCCCTGAAGTCTGTATCAGAAGGCTAATGGGTCTGCAATAGAACACTGAAAAGTCTACAACAGAAAGCTGAAGAATCTATAGTGGAAGGCTAAAGATTCCCAGGTGGAAGCCAGTCTGTGCCAGAAGCCAGGAGGACATCCAAACTGAAGGCAAAGAGGAGCTCTTCTGAAGAACCAGCAGTCAGTCCTTCCTCATTTGCCTTTCTATTGTATGCAGGCTGCTCCCCTGTGGTGGGTGCAGCATTCATACTATCTGTGTGCAGTCATTAGCACAGGTTGAGGATGTTACAAACTAGAGACTCTGGCTCCTGCTGAATCACTTAAACTTCTGACCTTCTCAAATTGACACAATGAACAGTATCATAGAATGGTAACAGCTTGTCCTCTGCACCCCAGGATGAAGAGCTGCTGAGTCACTTAGTTAAACTTCTAGACTTCTCAAGTTGACACAATGTATAAACCATAAAAAAAATCTAATCTATATTGTTGTGTTTTCCTAAGGATAATTCCTAGAGTTCATAGAATATACTTATTGCACGGTGAATAATCAGACAAACTCTAATTCACTTTCTCTAAGACTTTAAATGATATTGGGCACATTCCTGTGTCTTGATAACAAACAAAAAAGAGACCAAACTATACTTTTCTACTTTCTGAAACAACATCAGACTGTACTACATCTGTTCCATAGGACTTCACTTGTAATCTACAATAAAACTTTCAGTTTTTGTTGTTTCAGGTTTGTCATGACACTGAGGGATTTTTAGGCCTATTACCTTATTTCATTCATTCACCCATCTACTCATTCATTCTTTCTTTCTTCCTTTCATCACACATCCCTTTCAAGCCATCCCTCTGAATTATCCAAGACTTTCATTGATCCTTATCTAAACTAGGGTAATGGCCAACATTACTTCATGCAGAGTTAACAGTGTGGTGAGACACCAATGCTTTATTTCCTCCTAGGCGCTGAGTCTGCCACCATATACAAAGTCTAGAAGTTTAAATGCCTTCTACAGGTTGATTTTGGGGCAGCTATGAGATGTAGAATCAGCTTAGATTGTGCATGCCCACATATGTAAGAGAGGGAGTCCACCTATGAAGGCAAACATATGTAGATGCTATGTCTGACCTGCATGTGTCTGCCTGGCAAGATCTTACTTTCCATGATAATAATCCAAATAGCACCTGTAACTTTCTTCATTTGTTTTATTGACAACACTTGATGAAATATACATTACTACTTTCCCTGTTTATTAAAGTAAAAGTGAGAGAGATAAAGTGGCTCTCTCAAGTCACAGAGATAATAAATAGCAAAATTAGATCACAGACAGAATTCCTAAATTACAGAAAGATGCTTTCATTACTGCTGTATTTATCATAGATATTGTGGGTATGCCCATGTTTATATACATTTAATTTATGTAAGCCAAATGGATAAAAGAAGTACCAGAAATACAGATGCAGTTTTAAGCAGTGAGTTTCAGATATAGAATTCATTTCAGCATATATATGTTCATAAGCTTTGCTATGTACAAAGCATCATTGAAAATAGATGTGATTTTTGTCTTACAAGTGTTTCTAGCATATGGGATATACAAAACGCATGTGACTTACACAAATATGATAGGTGTAACACATCTCAAACAGTACGTCCTGACAACATATGCAAGAATGAAATTACATTTATCAATGCATGATGCTATATTCTATCATATTATACATATATTTCTGTTTATTTTATATCCTATTATTCTGTTATATACTGAATGTAAGTACAGTGTGAAAAAGCATTTTACTTAGATTTTTTGCTGTGCTGCATGACTGGCACAAAAGAGGTACACAATGAATTTTTTTTCAAATGAATGAACAAATAAGCCTATAGAAAGTGGAAAAAATTGCATGTTTAGGAACTACTGACACCAATGATCTGGATCAGATGTTGTGTGCTTCCTTTTAAAACTCTTTTGTCATGCTTGCAAAATCCAATGAAAGATACTAGTGACATAATAGGCACAATGGAATGTTTGTTTCAGTAACCTACCTCCTCAGTACTCAGCCTTCCATTGGCTTGATTTTCCTGGAGTATGTGTAATTTGGAACTTTTCCAGCTGAACATTGTGGAAGTAGAATAGCTTGCCACAAGTCTTTAACTATATTGCATGCTAGCAGGACATATTTGGTTTCATATTATTTATGAAGTCATGTGGATAAACTGATGAATTTGAGCAATGTAGTTGTATTCTCTGCATAATATACTGATAAATTGGGGAATAAATTATGATTAATTTTTAAATTACTATTTTGATGACAGTGTTAGACTTCAAAGTTATTAAAATGTCCCTTTAATTTCTTACTTTTGTTCTCTTTTTTGCTATGCTATATGTCATGATCTTTCAGATTACAAAGATACAAAACCACTCAAGCATATCAAAAATGGTTTCCAACATAAACTTCTCTGCACTACAAGTAACTGTTTCTTCTCAAAAAGAAAATAGTCTAATTTTTGAGAAATTGCGAATAAAATACTTATTTATAAACATCCTTTTCTTGAGAAACAAATGCTTATTAAGCTTTTCTCAAGTTTTAAAACATAGTTTCAATAATATTACTGAAGTTGGCAACTATCCTCAAGCCATGTGAGGTACAGAATGCAATTTACAAAATCAACTCTTATTAATATTAATATTTTCTAAAATTATGTTAGTTTTGGCATCCGCATTCAAAAGTAATTTGCAGTTTGATCGACTTTAAAGTAAGCATTGTACAGAGTCCTACATCTCCCTCTCCATATTATTTGCAGCCTTCAATTAGTCATGTAGATACTTTCATATCTGTTGTTAAGATACCAATAAGATGTGCTTGCATTTTGGGATACTTGACAGTGTTCTAGAAAAAGTTATCACCTCTACGCTGGGCGTTTCTGGCTCATTTCTTAGTTTTGGTTCCTGTTGCTATTGTTTCTTGGAGGAAACAGTAAGATACAGGCAACTCCTCTCACTTTCTCCCCAGCCATCCTTGCATTTAGACCCTCTGTGAGGTTTACAGGTGGGTTTATAGTCTGCTCTCTTCAGTTTACCAGGAGGGTCTATAAGGATGAATGAGAGGAGTCTTTCTCATTTCTCCTGGGGAACGTGTGGCATCTCAGAATTTGTATTCGTAAACATGCTTTCTAGATGTTTGCTTTGCACACTAATTTGAGGCCATTCCCTTCTTTCCCCAACCCCACTATCCTATTGCCATTACATTTGAAATGATCTTCTCAAAATGCACCTCTGACCTTTTACTTACCCAAATCTTTCTATTTGGTACTCTCACAGAGGCTAATATTGCTTCTTTGAGACATTTATGCAGTATGTAAGTACACTTACTTTTTTTTTGTTTCCTTTCAGAACTAAGCATCTAACTCAGAGCCTTTACAATGAGGTATATCCCAACCCCATTTTTATTTTTTAACTTTGAAATGGGATCTCTCTAAGTTTCCTAGAAAAGACTTAAGTTTGCAATCCTTTTTACAATCCTGCAAGCCTTCCTGGTTACTGGGAATACTAACACACTAAGTCTGTTTTCATCCAGCACAAATTGCAAACACAACAGATACATCCTTTGTGAATGAATAATATTACTGAACTAAACACTGTAGATTACCAAAAAAAAGTTAGAAAAGCCAGCTTCTGAACATCTGGGTCCAAGAGGAAAGGGCCCAGGATAAAATTTCCCTTTCAAAGACACTGTAGAAAACAACTACAACAGCTACCCAATCTGAAATAGTCACTCATCAGCACATTTTAATCTTTTGTATAAGAAAGAATGTCTGTTTTTCAGTTGTTTGGCCATTCCTTCAATCATCTATTCACTCACCATTTCCAGGTAAAATGTCAGTCCCTAAAAATAGAAAGTGATTCTGTTCTACTCACAAACCAAGAGTGGCCCTGCTATGGAGCCTTGCTATGTAACAGCACTTACACAGGGTAAGCAATATTGACCTGGCCCTTATGGAGGCAGCTTGAAGGAGCTATATATTTGCCTAAGCAAACCAAAACATTATTCAGTGTAATTACAGATCACTGTAAGTCCTCTGGAAGACAAACCTTGTTCTCTTGGCCTAGACTGGAGAACTAAGGAAAGTTTTCTGCTGAGATATGAGTAGTGTCTATCAGCCATGCAAACACACAGGGTCAAGCATCATGCTCACTGTGCAGGGGACGTTGTGGGACAGGGACTCCCTCAGGACTGTCAGACAATTCAAAATCAACAAAGATAGGAGCAATTCAGGGACCTAGGACAGGCCCTCTTGGTTTGGTCTACAAATGCAAAATAGAAATTTCAAGTTAGAGAAGAGCACGGAGTTTGGTGGAGAAACCAAAACCAAAAATGGAACTGAGCTTATGGATATCTGAAACCACTGGGCTAAATGAGAAAAAAGATAGTGTGAGACAGAGACAGAATTATCACTAGATGTCATAAAAAAGGGAAGGAAGGTCTAACAGCAGAGATTGCAAATGGAGGAGGATGAAGTAGGAAGAAAATTGGGGGAGAGTTTGGTCCTGGAGACCAGAGAAAAAGGATTTTTAAGAAAGGAGGTAGCCACCATATTAATTCTGCTGGAAGGACGATTCAAAGAAAAAAATATCCATAGATCCTAAGGAAACGTAGACACCATTAGTGACCTCAGCAAGTGATGCCTCTGGGATGGGTTGGAGTTAGAAGCCCAACTGGCTGATACTCACTCTGATGCTTAAAGGTGAAAGATTTGAGCTAACATGCCCAATCCAATCAACAGAAAGCTAAATAAAATATTCCTTCATACAAAAAAGCTTTGAAAGAAATCAAACAACCCAATTCAAGCCCATCTGAAATTTTGTTGTGTTTTGGGAGGCTTTCTTTAAATATGGAAAGATTTTGGAAATGCAACCCTATATAAAATGGTTATCATTGTCTAAGATTTTACTGGGTTTTTTCCTTCCTTTGTATACCACAGAATAACAGATTGAGAAAATATGCCTTTGAATTGAAAATGAACGACCTGACCTATTTTGTGCTGGCAGCTGAAACAGAGTCGGATATGGATGAGTGGATCCACACCCTTAACCGCATCCTGCAGATCAGTCCTGAGGGGCCACTTCAGGGAAGGAGAAGCATGGAGCTCACTGAGCTGGGACTGGGTGAGAGCTTAAAAGCCATCTCCCTTTCTTTGTCAAGTGTGATCTGTGATTTTTCTGCATTTATACTGCTAGTAATTGCAGTAATTATGAATACCAGCACATATCCATTCCAGAGCTGTGTGTTGTAAGGCATCACCTTTGATCTTTATTTATACTGAATAGTGGCAGTCACCATATATTGGGATGATTTTGAGTTGACTGGCAGTGATTTGAAGCTGTCATCCAATGCATAATGTTGAGAATTGTTTATTATCTGCATCAAAAATATACCCATATCCGGTGGGAAGCTACCTATAAGTGTATTTTGTGGGACATGGTCTTTCATTGTATTTAATTAGTGAATCTTGTTCTCTGTACATGCAAATATGGATTAGCATCTCTCCATGAAAAGGTGGCTTTCAATTATGCTTTTTTTTTTTTGTCATACTGAGATCAGATTACCTGTTCCAATAGTATGTGTAATAAAACATATCTTTTAAGAGGTAAAAGAAACAACTACTTCTGCCCGGTCTAATCCTCAGATATTATTCTAACTAATTCTGAGCAAAGAAAATGGAATAACAAAAAACAGGAAAGGACAGAAGGGTAGAAAACCAAGACATAGATGGATAAAAGACAGGCTCTCAACCAACAGTCAGCCATTGTTGGTGAAAATGAGACCTTTGCCCAGGACCATGGTACATTGGAAACCAAACGACCTTTAAATTCGAGTAGCCGAAGTATCACATACTATAAAGTAACAGAGTCACAGGATACTGAGGATAAAAACTATGCTTGATTTCAACAGAATCTCAGTGTATCACAGTAGCTGATTTATATTCAATTACTATTTCTTCATAATGATCAACTAGAGCATTAATATTTACAATATCCTACAGACATTAAGCAACTGAAACTACAAGACAGGTTCTAGATGAGGTGGCCTGAGAGTGAGAATTATCAAACATATACACATATTTTTAAATTTATGCATATTTAAGAATACTATTGTTGAATAGATTTTAAGACATCCTCAAGTGTATAGAAAGTGTTGGAAAGATCCAAACTTATTGTTAATAACATCGTGGCTCGAATTTCAAAATGATTATCAGGAAGTCTCATTTCCAGACTTTGATTGTCTGAATTGATGGGGCACTGGATACAGGACAAAACAAAGAGGCTCGCTCACATGCCTTTGAGCTCTTAAGTCTAACCTTGTTTTATGTCTCACAGGCTGCAAAGATCTATGACTCATTATTTAATAACCTGTCTCGGTGTATCTTTTCAAGATCCACTGGATAATTCTGTACCTTGTGAATGTACGACAGAAGAAACAGACTCTTCAGAGAACAGCCTACACCCAGACTTCGCAAAAGTAATAAAATTGACATTGTATTTGCACATGAATTTGAGCTGCTTGTTACTTGTGGGTTTCATGCCAAAAGTAGAAATGCTTTCATTTAAGAGTTAAGAGTAGGAGACTAATTCAGAACTTTTCATTAATGTGTTTGACTTAAAATGCACACAGCTCCCAAAAATCAAAGCTTGATTTTCCAGATCTGTCTAGTAGTAATGCGGGACATTAAAACAGTGCTGGTACTAAGCAGCTGTTTCTTAGCCATGTGAATGTGGTCAGGCTGGATATGGATATTGGACACCAAGGTCTAACATGGTTTTCTCTGTAGTACCTCACAGAAACAGAAGACAGTGTCAAAGCCTCTCGAAACATGGAGAGGCTGAATCTGTTTTCGTTGGATCCAGATATAGATGTAAGTCACTGTTCTTTCTGAGCAGTCATAAACTTGATCCATGCAACTGGGGATTCTGATTTAGAATTTTGTCTTTATAAGTGGTGACTGAAACTTTCAAAAAATTTTTTAGACCTTGAAACTTCAAAAAAAGGATCTTTTGGAACCAGATGCCGTGATAAAACCCTTTGAAGAAAAAGCTGCCAAGAGAATCATGATCATTTGTAAAGCTCTCAACTTAAATCTTCAAGGATGTATTACAGAGAATGACAATGACCCCATAACAAATGTAAGTTTCTCTTGTTTCATCCTAGGCTAGTCAACCAAAATCATACAATCCTAATCAGAATCTTTCTATTTCTGATAAATCCGGGTACTGACTTCACATCTAGTGCACAAAAGAGTATGTTTCACAGCATTTTCCCCCATAACAAAAATCCACAGATTCTAAATGGAACTGTCCATGCACTGCTATAGAACTTTCCTTTTCATTTAAAGGAGTGTCATTAGAGGAACAGTGTTCTGGAATCCTAAGGTGTTGTATGCTCTTAGTGGCACCTGAGATGACTTTTAAACTGATATTTTATTTTAATTTATGTATTCATTTTCATGTCTGTTACAGAAAAACTGCAACTAACAAACCAGTTCTGTGGTTTCACTATAGTATTGCTTAAGCAAAGCATAATAGTAAAGCAACTAAATAATATTTGATAAATTTTAAATAATGGCTCACATAGTATATGCAAATGCAGAAATTATAAAGATACTTTATCTGTACTTGGAAACACCATAGTACTCATTTAATCATACTAGATTCCTTTTCCTATTAAGTGAGCTGTCTTGAGAATTTTCTGTTAAGATTCTAATGGACAATTGTAAACTGGTCATAAATGTGCTTGTGGAAAGGGGCATTTTATGAGCATAAAGATCTTTAAGCAATAAACTGTAAAAAAGAAAATACAAATTTCTCATAATCCAGCCATCAGGACAAATACAGGTAATTATCTGGTATATTTCCTTTCATTCTCTTTCAGTGTATTTTGTTTTAATTTCTAATAAATCATCCCTCACTTATATCTTTCACCTCAAAGAAGAATACTGATTTCAAGATCCTTGAGACAAGTAAAGGTGGTTTAGAAGGTAGTGACAGCATTAATTTTTCACTGTAACCTGGGCACACACAATCCCACACCTTTTTCCATTTATGATGCAGTGAAACAAGCCTGGTGAGTTGTGACAGGCAGTGGTTGGCAAAAAGAATGAACTCTGTCAGAGATATTTCTTCAACAACTCCTAGCCTTGTGTCTTTAGCACCTTGACAGTTCTCTTCAAGGCTTCTAATCCTGGAGCTTCCACATGGTGGACCTCCAAATTGAATGAGGAAAATCCAAGGAGATGCACAGCTTCTGATCTCACTGCCTGACTTTAGAACTTAGGAGTTGCGCCATGTTGGGTGAGAGGCTTGCTCACAAGCTTCTCTAGGTAAATGGGGTTAATAACAATATATATTTCAACTGGTTGTGTAAAGAGGAAGTGAGATAATATTTGAAAATACACAGTGCAAAGTAAATATTCATAAAATATTTACTGTTATCTAAGTGAGAAGAAGCTTTGAAATTTGTAAAATTCATGCATGCAGGACATTGATATTTTCATGTTACATGTGAGTTCTTGTTGGCAAGTAAGCTAGAACAGAAACATTGCCAATGAGAGCCTTGTTCCAAAACGAAATTTTTAAAATATTTTATAATGTTTACCTTGTGCAAGATGTGAGTAAAAATGAAATTCAAGTTTACTTGTTCCTTAACAAATACTTGGCGAGATTATTAGCCAGATTTTAGCTCCTGGAAAAAACAGTAAGGAAGAAGATAAACAAGATCCCTGGTGTCTTGAATATTCAAATTTATTTTAAAGGATGGAGAATAAGCAAGAAAAAAATTAACAAAATAATCTCACAATTCTTTAAAAACTCAATACAGAATAATACGATGCAGAGGAACTGGGAACAGGGTTGGTGTAGACGAGTGCTCATGAAGATCTCTCTCAGGAGGTAATATTTGAAGGGAGACTTAAAGTTTGAGGGGAATAAAGAGGCACATCAGGGGGAAAAACATTCTAGGGAAACGAAAGGGCAAGTGCAGAAGCCCTGAGACAGGTATGTATTGCCAAGTTCTGGGAATAAGGAGAAAGGGAAGACCAGAGCAAAACCAGATGGGAGAAAGAGTAAGACATGGGGGTGGGCGGGCCTTTTAAGCTAGACTGAAGCATATAGATTTAACCTTAGTATGTGTGGAGGAAGTCAACGGCTTAAAGCACTTTAAATTAGCATAATCTAATTTCTGCTTCATAAAGATTGTGGCAGAAGAATGGATTGGAAGAAATCAGAGATGTTCAGGGAAACCAGATTGAAGGCCACCGTGACCACTGGTTATGTGGCTTCAGTGAGGGCCGACAAGGAAGAAGCAGGGAAATAAATGTATACATGTGACTGTTCTGATACATTTTTCTGGTAGGCTGGACGTGCTGAATAACATAAAAGGAAACCACAAGGATTAGTCCTGGGTTTCGTGTTGGATATTTCTATGAGTGGTGGTGCTACTTTCTGAGCAAGAACAGATTTGCAGGATTCAGATCAAGAATACCACTTTTTGTAGGTTTATTAAATAGTGACATAGAGATATGTTTTGGGCTGATTCAAATGAAAGTTTGAACTCAGAGGAGGGACAGTCATTGGAGGTACCCAGGTGAGTCTAGTTCAGGCAGTGACTCAAGGGGGATGGTTAAGACAGACAAGTGGAAATATCTTTTTCAAGGGAGAAGAGGACTGAAACGTGGAAAGAGAGACAACAGTGAAGGGTAAGGAGATAAAAGAAGAATTGAGATGTATTATGTACGTGTACCTACTTCCCACAAGGAATGTGGTCATTAGGTAATACAAACATGGAACAATAAAAACAAAAACAATGTACATGAAGAAGGGGTCACATATGCTGTGTGTAAAAGATGGGTAGGGAAGTAAGCTAAGAAGGAATTGCTCCTGGAGTAGAGAGAAACCAAGGAGTCAACTCTCCGGAATGGTCCTAGTTGCTGCTGTAAAGTCAGAGAGGAGTCCAATGAATTTCACAGAGTAAAGGATGCCCACAGCATAGATAATCTGTGACTATAGCAAGAGCTGTTTCCAAGTAGTGAAAAGTGATAGGAGAAGCAGTCCGACTGTGCGTTCATTCAGGATTTAAATTAAAAACAAACCCAGAAGCTTGGTTTTTAAAAAACTATTTGGATATTTCAGTAAAACTTCACACAAATCATCATGTCTCTGTTTCATTACCCTTTTAAACGCTAGATTTTTTCTTCTATCCAGCCCATCCTTGTGTGCAAATAAAAAATCCAATTGAAAATCAGACATAAAGGGCTTTTCTTTCCAATGCCAAGACCATATGATTCTGTCCACGTGGATTCTTTTCTTTGTGTTAACATGCACTTGCCCATACTAAGTGTCTGTATTTGGAACGATCTTAACAGCCAGAAACAAAGCTAAGTTAGGAGAATAGCTTCCCTGTGACCTTTCATATCTGGCAGGCCAAGAGATTTGGATGATGAAGAATATTCTGTATGTTTGTGCTGTTTTTAATTTATCTTGCAGTTGAAGCTGATGTTAAAAAAAATACCCTAAAAAATTACTCCTTTAAAAATAATTTCATTCTATAATCAGGAACATAAAACAACCTCAACTTTACTCTGAAATTTGTCACTTAATGACATTGTTTCTCAAAGTCTTTATATATTCAATGACACTCTTATTTAAACTTTTTTAAAAAATCATTATTCTTAATTTAATGAACATGTTCAAATTAATCATAATATTTCTCCAAGTTACTGAAGAACTAATAACTACATTTAATGAATGAGCTTGAAAGAACTTTTTCTCAATAAAGGAATAAAATTTGACAGCATATAATTTTTTAGTCAGTAAACTGAAAACCAAATTCAAGTTGGTAATTTCATAGTATGAAATATTTCTTTGAAATAGGAATTGATTCTAAAATCTGAATGAATAAAGCTTCTTCAAGTGGAGCTATATTTACAACTTCATGTTCTTGAATTTTTAGAACAGAACTCTAAGCCTAAGAAACCTATGATTTAATCTGCTAGAGTATGAAGGTGCTTTGTTAATCTACCTTGAAAATGTAAGACTTGAGAATTATATCGAAAAGGTGGATTGGAAGAAATAAATGAATCACCACATGAGCTTTAGTTTCTGATGGGTTATCAAAGTCATTTCCATTCGTGAAACAAAATGAAAGTCAAAATGTAACAATTCAGCAAAACAACGAGAACTTTTTTTTTTTGGGATCTTCAAAGCGTTTTGAATTTGTGCATGCCTGAATTATATTCTAATTTTTGCATTTTTAAAATTCTTGACAGACTACCACTACTTCAAACCTAGTGTTTTTCTGAACAAATCAAGTTGATGAAACAAAATTTATTGTATAATTGCATTGTTTAAAAATTTGTTGAATTTTTTTATATGTTTAATTGCATTTCTAAGGGAGAGGTAGCAAGTACTGCTATTATTTAGGAACTGAACTAGTAACCCTGTTATAAGCTAACTGTATTACTAGATTTCAAAGAATGGAAGATGCTCACTGTGTGTTTAATAAGATCCACAGCCGCGTCTGTGCCTGTGCAGTTATGAACTGGGTCATCATGTGGTCTTTCTGTATAATCTACTTGTTGACAGAATGCTGGCAGATAACAAGTATCAATTCAAAGTTAAGTAGCATAAATAAAAGTAAAATTACATTTTGTAGGCACAGTTCATCTTTAGAACATTTGCTTAAGCGCAGAGCTACATAATTTCTTCTGTGTGCATATATTATGCACATAGTTTACGTATATGTATATATATGCATAATGTGTATGTAACTATATTCATATGCATTTTAATCTCTGTTACACTTAACATTTTTCTATTTATCCATTCTTTCTTTCTTTATTCTCCTTTCCTGTGACACTGTTTGTATTTTAATTTTTTTTTTTCACCAGGGATCTAAATCATCTTGCGCTTTCCACGCAGGCACTTATACCACTGAGCTAAATCCCTGGCTCACGTTTTAAAATTTTTAACAGTTTGCTGTGTTTCTTATTTCTCTCCAAAGTACAGTGGTTGAATGGCATGCATGAGGCTTGGGTTCAATCCCACACCACAGAAACAAAAAGTATTTTAAGGCATCTCACACTGATTTCACCAGTCTACACTTCCAACAAGAGTGGAAAAGGGTTTCTTTTACCCCACAGCCGTTTGGCATTTGTATTTGGTTTATTTCTTGATGTTAGCCATTCTTTGTGGGGTGAGATGGAATCTCAGTGTTGTTTTAATTTGTGTGTCTCACATGACCAGTATGTTGAACATTGTATCATATATTTATTTACCATTTGTATTTCTTCAATATGCGTACAGCAACCACTGTTAAATTCCTACCTTCTTGTTTTGAAAACCTATGTAGCTATTGTTACTTTGTTGTTGTTGCTTGTCATTTTGCTTTTGTTGTTTTTTAGGTTTGTTCACACTTGATTTTTCTGTTTTCTCTTTAAAATAACAAAAATCTATATCCAACAGAAAATCACCAGGCTGATCTTTGTCTCTTATCACTGAATGATGTTCTCCCCATCCATTTAGGTTCCTGTATGCTCGAACATAGGATTTCTTATTTATGCCCCTGTGCATCCTTTCTCAAATCACACACCAATCAGTTAATCCAGGCATAAACTACTCATGCAGTGGATTTCAAAGGCCTGAGCTGAACACCCTTCCCCAAAACACGTTCTACTTAAATTGCTGCCTCCACTCCAGGGCCACTTTACTGTTCTTTTCCTGTGTCCTTGTGTCCTTTCATGTCTTTATATGTCTTTGCATACATCACTCACCTAGGAGTCCTTTCAACCAGCGCTGTACCAACATTGCTACCTCTTGTCACCATAACCAAGAAACCTCCCTGTTTCTTCTTACTTTCCATTACCTTCCCATTTTGCCTTTATTTCTCATCTTCAGCTTCCTTCCTGACATTCAGGAAGCGGTGAAAGGGGAATCCAGAATCTTGTAGTTGGGTAAATAGTCAGCAACAACTGAGAGTGGGCAACAGAAAAACACGCAGGGTGCAGAAATAGCATGGCCCTGATCTTTTGGGATGCAAGTTCAGAGTAATTCAAGGTGGTATTAAAAATATAGTTAACGAGGTTGGGAGGGTGGTTCCTTTGAACGACTCAGTAAGCTAATTGCACAAAGAAGAGATTAATGACAATGAATTCCAGATTCCTCACTGTTGGAAGACAAACAGTTATGAAAAACAGAAAGAATAGAAGGAGTCCCTGAGTTTTTGAATTGGAAATGAAATTATCAACATGAACCAATTCATTTTTAATAAATATTTATATATAGAGAGAGAGGTAATTATAGATATACTAGAATATTTCTAGTGTATACATACTTATGGGTTTTTACTTTCACTCTGTGAAAAGCCAGAGAAGCAATACTGTCTCAGTGACAATGAGCACAGCAATGCAGATCTTAGTTTCAAAATATCATTCTCACCAGAAAGAACTAGAGCTCCAGAGGGAAATGTCTGGGATATGGAGAGTATGAGGTGAGCCTGGAACACATACTGGATAAAGAAATACTCAAAACATGATGTAGATTTGCCAGAATGACTGAGGAGCTGCTCTGAAGTGAATGCCTTTTGCCAAATCTGGGACAATTTGAGCTTCACTGTAAATAATAATCATGAACAATTAAAATGTGTGGAATAGTAAGCCAGCAGTCTATATGTGTATAAATACATGAGTTTTTAAAATGAGACAGAAGGTAAAGCGAGTCTTCATAGTAGAATATTAACTAATAGATGTAAAGAAATGATGAAATTGGAGAATCACATTGATGCCAGCATAATAGTCCTTGGTGCTTGTGGGAGTTATCACTGGAAGTTAATACTGGCAGGCTGGTTTTGATGAGTAGTGAGACACTGAGAGTAATCTTGTAATTTATTCTCACAAACCTTAAAATCAATTACTAAATGGGAAGTGGCCTTAAAGAAAAGTGGCAGATAACAGTGTGACCAGAAGAGTTAGATTAACATCATAGTTGCTAACAAAATTGACATTGTATGTCCTTAACTATCGAAAAGTTTAAAAAAATCAAAATAAAGGGAAAATAGTTAATTTCTGTTAAAGATGAAAAGAAACTTCAGCTGAGACACCAGCTCTTTTTAAGAAGCTTCTTTGTCTCTCTGACAACAGATCCTTAATAATTCAATGTCTATCTGCTTGTCACACTGCTGTAATATCTAGACCATCCACTAAAATATTGGGCATGTCTGGAAAGGCAGTAAACATACAGTGAGTATTCAATAAAGGTTTGCACACCACAATTAAAAACTGAGAATTGGCTGGACCAACGAAATATTTCTCAGTGCATTCTGACTTTTAGGATTCTACTGCATATCACCAGAGGCCCAAGGAGACTGAGGTCATGGGTGTGTGCTGAGAATTTAAAGAAAATAATCACAAAACTTGTATGCCATTTTGTGTAGTGCAACATAAGGCAAGGAATACTTGGTTGCAAAACTAGACTGAAGAAACAAAAGAAGTGCAGGCCTGAAATCCAAGGCACCTGCAGGAACAGAGGTCCCGGGTACCTCCTGCTGAGTGAAGGGCAACTTCCCTCCTGCTTGTATTGTACTTTGCACTTTTGGAAACAATGTGTGCGGAGGCTGCTGTGCAGGTTATAGTTTTCTGTCAAAACCATCTGTTCTTTATTTTTCATGCAGATTGAGCCTTTTTTTGTGAGTGTGGCACTTTATGACCTCAGGGTCAGCAGGAAGATTTCTGCCGATTTTCACGTGGATTTAAACCACGCTGTTGTCAGACAGATGCTCCCAGGGGTTCCCGCGACTCTAGAAAATGGCAATATTGACATCATCACACCAAGACAATCAGAAGAACCTCATATCAAGGAACTTCCAGAAGAATGGCTGAAGTTTCCAAAGCAGGTTGTACTTTTGTTTACTTTTGACAGGCCTGAAAATTCTTTTTCCAGTGTTTTTACCAATGGATCACATATGAGGAATAATTTCTCAAATAAAAAATTTTTAAAGTTGGCCTTTAAAAAAAATATATTAAAAAAAAACAAACATGTTTTTAAATGCCTTCAGTGTGATTCCTCAGATGTTAATTAGTTGCTATCTTTGTACCTAGGCTATATTTTCTGTAAGTGATCCACATTCTGAAATTGTCTTGGTGGCCAAAATCGAAAAAGTCCTGATGGGAAACATTGCAAGTGGGGCTGAACCTTACATTAAGAATCCAGACTCCAACAAGGTAATGAGTGATTGTGTTGGTTACTTTTCTCTCCTTGCTGAGACAAAATACCCAGCTCTCAAAATAAAGGAAGGAAAGGTTTCTTTAGCTCACAGTTTGTAGAGGTTTCAGTTCATAATCAACGGGTTCCAAGCCAGGGTAGTGTGGGGCAACATGGCTGCTGTGGCAGAAACCAGAAGTGGCCACAAGAAAAAGGGAGAAAGAGAAAATCAGGCCTCCTTCACTCCCTCATATAGTATGCCAGTCCACTACCACCACTACCACCACCACCCCTGCCCCTGGGTGGGTGCAGCACTCACACCGCCAATCTCAATGCTAGACAATGAATCAATCACAAATACTAGACTCAGCTCCCTTTGAAAGGCCCACCTCCATGAGTGCATGAGGCTTTGGAGGGGTGCTTAGACACGAACCGTACTAGTAATTTTCTGATAAATAATTTTAATCCCTTTCAGTTTGGGATGGTAGTGCATGTAATCATAGCACTCTAACAGAGTGAGGCAGAAGGAATGCAAGTTTAAGCCCAGCCTGGGCAACTTAACAACTTAACAAGACCTTGTTTCAACATTTCTGTTATATGAAAAACCCAAATTATGAATGCACAACAGAATAAAAGATAAATAACAGGAAGTAGCAAAATAAATTTTTCTCAGATGAAAGGGGGAATCAAGAAATGAAGGGAGGGAAGGATGAGAAAAATTAAGATGAGTTATATATATTACCAGCTTCAGACAAGAATATAAACATGTACTAAAAACATACAAATAAAAATAATAATAATAAAGGGCGGGGGATATAGCTCAGTGCAAAGGCCTTGGCATCTTGCATCAACCCTCAGTATCTCCAAAAGAAAAACAAAACAATATTTAATTACTTTTAAGAAATTAAACCACATTGCCTTGCCGAATTATGAAGTTTGATAGATATATGGCTTTAAGTATTCACTTACTAGTTAAATCAATACCCATCAGGAAATTAAAGTATATATTTTGGGTTGATGTCTTTTTTGAATCAGTAATTTCGAACTTCTGACAATCGATTGTTATGGAAAAAATGTAAGTCCACAAGGGTCAAAGTATTATGCTATTGAAAAGTTAGCAGCAATCTGAGTAAAAGCAAGTGAATATAGTTTGCTAAGTCATCAGCAAAGCTAATGAGGATCTTAGTGAAAAAAAAATAAGATCGATAATTTTACATCAAATCATAACACATTAAAAACAGAAAGAGGAAAGGGAATAAGTACTTTGTAGGAACTATAGGTAATATTTTGCTACTTCCTTATAGTTTTAAGCAATCAAATACTGTTTAATAAAAGAAAAATGTAAAAAATATATATTTTCTTCAAAAATATGTATTTAAGGAAATTACTCATAAGAATTGAGTTTAATGGGTGGGGATTTAGCTCAATGGCCCAGCATCTGCCTGGCAAGCATGAGGTCCTGAGGTCCATTTCCAATGACTGCCCCCCCCCAAAAGAATTGAATTTAAGCATGTATAACAATTGAAGGTAGAATTGAGAAGAATCCGTTAGCTCAAAACCTGGCAAACTAAAGTGTTCAGGCTAAATTCAGTCTGGCTTCTGATTTTGTAGAAAAGCTGAAACAGTCACACGTTCATTCACTTAAGAATTGTCACATGGCTACTTCCCTGTCACCACCACAGAGGTCGTGACAGTGATCACAGAGCCTGTAAAGCCCTTTGTAGTTCAAATCTACTGACTTCTATCAAATGAATGAAATGATATATTAGAGTGAGTATAAATTTGATAATACTTTCAAGATGATAAAATCTGTTAAGTCAAGAAGAGAAAAGGGAAAGGAAAGATTTGATCTTCCAAGAAAAGGAATTTTCTACATTAGGAATTAGAGAACTGAAAAGAAAGAAGAATGTTCTTACAACTGTTTGAACCCAGAGGGTGTTATTTGGCCCTTACAAAGTAGAATCTGTGGGTTGGCAAATCAGAGTTTTACAAAGCTTTCTTATAGTACCATGAAAAAATGTTTCTTATTATTGTAAAGTGCTGTTTCTAATCAGTATTTTTATTTATCTCTTCCTTAGTTTGCACAAAAGATACTGAAATCCAACAGGCAGTTCTGCAGCAGATTGGGGAAATACCGCATGCCATTTGCTTGGGCTGTGAGGTAGGTTAATCACTGCAGAAAAGAAATAGAATTTTAGTCAGCATTGGAAGTCAGTTTTAAATACTTTTGCATTAGCTGTAATTTGTAGCATGCCTATCTATAGGAGGAGCTAATGCATTTGTCTCCATAAACACCCCAAGCTTCCCAGAGTCATACGTTTCACAAGATAATTCAGCACAACAGCTTGTCATAGAGGTCCTTGATGTGTACAGTGGAGGCATGATTCAGGGAGCTGCATGTTCTTGGTTGGTGTCAAATAGAAGCTTATTACACATATTTGGTTTCACAAACCCTTGACATCATATTAGTTCAAAAGTCTAACCTGCATAAAATTTAGAAAGCTGCACCATGATTTCCTGGGTAGTTCTAATTTTCCCTAGAGCTCATGTCTGAATAGGGATGTCCAAAAGACACTATCAAGTTGATAATTTAGAGTTCTTTTCAATTTTGATATAGATCAGCATAGCCAATTTTACCCATACCCATTTACTCTCATAAAAATGCTGAATTCTTTGTATAGTGATGATCTATCTGGACAAAAACCCTCTAACTAAAGGGCAAAATTTGCCTTTAACTTCCATTACCATTATTTTCCTTGATCTCTATATGTCTTGATTAATACGAGAATTTCTGAAAAGGAAACAAGCTTGTAGATTCATAAGGAAGAAAAGGCAAAGGTCAACAATGTACAAACTGAATGAATTAAGAGGCTAGTTAGAGTCATAATATAGGGCAGGCTAGTAAGTGTTCCTTTGGACGTAAGTGGCATCATCCCAACGGTAGTAACTGTAAAATCTAGGAAGAAGAGAGAACCTGTTAGTAACAGCATCTTTAGGTCATACAGTTGATCTAAGATGATTAACGTATGCATCAATATTATTATGCTTTGGAGGTCATTATTTGAAGTAGGGGATCGGTACATATAGGAAGAACAAATGTAGAAGTTTAAGCAGAGGTAAAGCAAAGTAGACTCACACAGCCTCTGTGTATTCTCTCAGAGCATTAGTTTTCTCTGTGGCAGTTCTATGGCCAGTTCTGTTTCCGGAAAAGAGTTTTGGCTGGGCACAGCGACACATCTGTAATCCCAGCACTCGGGACTGAGGCAGAATTGCTGTGAATTTAGCCTGTGCCACTAGAGTTCAAGACCAGCCTGAATTACATCGTGAGGCCCAATCTCAAAGAAAAGTAAAAGGGCCAGATCCCAGAGTCCCAAAACACTGGATGTCCATCTCTTGTATCTTTGGGCAAAATTCTTTTTCAGTTATAGAGTCTTCATGTATAAAAGGGAGTTGACAATGCCTGCTTCATGGACTGTGTGTGCAACCTCATATGCACAAGCATTTGGCATGAAGTAGATCATGAATATCCTCTTCCATCTTTTGTTATAGGAAATGCCATAACATTCATGTGGAAAGATATTATTTACATATACTGAGCACTTCATGATACATTTAATTTTATTTTTCATAGTTCACTGATCAAACATTTTCATAGTTCTAAGTAATCTCGGATCCCATAGGAAAACCTGTTGGAGTGAGTAGAGGCAAGATTTCCCTTGGCAACAGTGAAGTATTCCCATACAGGAAAATTACAGTAATGAACACAGTTTTGCTTTAAGGATCCCGGAATTATTCTGACATTGAAGATGTAAGCATTTTTCTTTCCTTTTTTTTTTTTTTATGGTACCAGGGATCAAACTCCTTGTGCTCACCTGCTAGGCGCTTACACTACTGAGCTAAATCCCTGGCCCCAATGCAAACATTTTAAAGCCAGATAGATCTGGGCTTAAAGTCTCAACTCTATCCTGGACCAGCCAAGTAAGCATAGTAGGCCAATTATAGTCTGTCTTTACCTGTTTTTTAATGTACTATATATATGTGCATACATACATATATATATATATATATATATATAGCATATATATATATATGTTACTGTTTCAAAGATTAATTAGTGTCGATAAATATCCAGTGAGAGAGCTATTATACAAAATTTTTACTACTATAATTTTTAAAAGTCATGTGGAAATCAAAAATTCACCTCAGTCAGTCCCCATTTCTGATAGATTTGAGTCAGTGAAGAATAACGTGGAGGAAAGAAACAAACAAATTACCTGTTTTGAAAGAACCTGAGGAGCTGAGAGAAGCAGCAATCTTACTTTGAAGTTCTGGCATACAATAAGATGCAAGGAAGATGGATGACAATATTATGAGCCATTAAAATCATTATTCCTAGGAAAGGAAAGCCAATAAAACCATTAGTTCCGGCTATGCGAATGTCCAATTGGTGCTTTTGTTATACATTAGGAAACAGTGTATTCCACCAATTTGCATGTGAAAATATATGAATTTCATTTATACAAACTTCTCTGGCAACTGAGAGAAGTGATTATGAGGATAGTTTTACAGATAATATGTTAGCCCACTTGGGTTATCTAAGTAATAGAGGATCCAGACAAATAACATTTTTAAAATTTCCCTTCATGATGCACAACCTGCTTAAATAAATAGTAAGATTTTCAAAAGGCTGATGTTATTTATATCAATTTGACATAAGCTAACTTCCTGATCTATTTGAATACCTTATTGATATTGCAGATTCTCTGATGACTTTTCCTTTCTACTATGTTTCGTAGACTATAGTTTGTTTCACATTATAGCTTTGAGTGTCTCTCAAGACATTTTGATCTTTCAAGACAGCTCACTAAAAGAGTAACCCTGACAGTGTTGTTTATGATCACCTTTCACCCAGACAGAATCATCAAGACAGTGCACACAGATGCTCATCACAGATGCAACATCACAGATGTTGCATGTTCTCCTATTTGGTACTGGCTGGGTGGCCATTTTGTAGCCAAAAGTACCAGAGTATCCATGGAGAAAATGGACATATAGTGACATGGGACGTGTTTTTATACTCCATGATTCAGGAAGAATAGACCTTGACAAATGTCACTGTTGCAAATGGAACTATCTGTGCATGTCAACTTCAGAATCATAAGTGCCTTAATCCATCCCAGGGCTCTTTCATGATTTCACTTAGTTTGTCTCATTTGATATGCTGAATAGGTTTACACACAATGCTGGTGTTTCTTTGAAATTAACCAAAAGTAAAGTTAGGATTTTATTCTTTCTCTGTACATGCAAAGAAGGTGCATCCTACAGCTATTACAATACCATCACCAAGATGGTTATTTATCCCCAGTTTGAATAGTTCCAGTGACAAAGGACACACAGTATGTGCAATTGTTTCTTTTGTCTCTCCTTATTAGCTCTAATGATTAGATGACTCTTTATTAAATTTTTATACTACCTAACAACCATTAAACGTTTTCCCCCCATGGCTACCAAAAAAAAAAAAATGTATAATTCTTCTTATGTGTTCTGCCTATTCATACTGTCTATGAATGATGCTGCCATGACACTTAAGATGCTTTTCCTTTTGGTTAACATTGTATTCCCTTCTATTACACCCCAATATCATGGCTCTGAGATCCTCACCATTTACTAATCACTGCCCAGCTGCAGCAGTTGGAACTGATACCATGTCCCAGCCATCCTGAAACCATCTGTGTGGATGCCTCAGTTCCTGGGCCTATTGCCAGTTAGTGTTTTGCTTTTCTGAGCAGTGAGGAGTTATATGTCACTGTGACTGAAGCTACCCTATAGTGCTTTCCTTCCATTATGATGAGTGGCCAGTGTGAGGGAGTAATTTCCATCACAGAGAAATGGATAAAGGCAACCACGAGTTATATAACTCACATATATTAATGTATTTGAACTTACTGTTTCATGTAAAAATTATTATTAAACTCAGTTTAACTGCCTCTCCTATTCGGAACCAACACTGGCTTCAACACCTCACACATTTGAACAAAAAGTCTATATTATATTTAACACAAGTTATTTTCCAATTAAGCATTTTTATCCTGTTTTCCTGGTGTTACTTACTAGGGGCACTTTTTCTCCCTTGGTCACTACGTAACACAGAAACGAGGAGACAGTTTGAGGGACCACAAAAATACAATTGTGATAAATTTCTGGCCTATCAATTGTATTACAGTAAAGATCTATTATCTAATGTACATTTAAATGCTATTTCAGCTTGTATTTTGAAATGTTTGGTTAATTTAAGAATGATAAAATGTTCTAGTAAAGTCCTCTAAGTTAAAATTAAAAGTCCAACATTTTTCTAACATTGAAGTAAAGGCAATTATACATGAATCTAATTCCTTTTCAACCACACAACTTATGATGAAATACAAGGAAGAAAGAAGTGACATTAACATACTATAAAATACTATATATACTATATATATATATATTGCCTGACATTACGATACTATTGAAACAAAAACAACTTATAGATTTTAAATGAGTTTATATGGTTCCAGTTAAATGGATCCAGGAGGAACATAATGCATCTGGTCATGGTATTCTCCTTATTTAAAACAAAAAATGCTCAAATTTCCTATATTTTATTTATTTATTTTTTCTTGTGCCAGAACTTAACACGTGGACCTACTTATTTCCACAAAAGTGTTTTGTGACTCTCGTCCTCTGTATTCACATATACAACCTCATCCCAGTTGCATTAAAGGTGTCACCTAGAGAGAAAGGACATTGTCTTGCCCAGGTTAAAATGTCTTAAGGAAATAATGAGAAAGAACAGCACACTCCTGTTATTCTGGACCACTGTAATGTCTTATGTAAGTTGCTAAATGGAAGACAGTACTAAAAAAAACAATTGCAATATGGACTGATGTGACCTAAAATGAGAAGTTGAAAATAAGAAATGAAGCAGAGCAAGTATGTGTAAATGAAACCTTTGCCAAAAGGTCCTTTCATCTTTTTATTTTGTAAGTTTCTACAGTTTCTTCCATTATAAATAAGAAGTCTCACTCATTTCCTTGCTTTAAAAACACAATTCTATAAAAAGTGACTGGTATCAACCTGAATAGCTATTATTTTCTTTAAGGTCAGTATTTAAAGACAACCAGGGAAATGTGGACAGAGACTCAAGATTTTCACCGTTGTATAGACAAGAAAGTAACAAGATTTCAACTGAGGACCTCTTGAAACTCGTGTCAGAATACAGACGGTATGATTTGTGGAAGCTCTTGAAACTGACAGTGGCAGTCACATTGCCACATTTGATTGTTCTCACTCCATGATGGTATTTGAATCTCAGATGTCTGAACTCCGCTGGAGATGGATGCCTCCAGGTGACTTCGTATGTGCCCAAATTATGCCATACCATCAGTTTGTTGGATCATAAGGAAAAGCATGAGGCAAAGTTATTTGTAGCTGTATAAATGAACCCTAATATTCAATATATTGCCTGAAATAGCAACACTGCTTACTTTACTCCAGAGTCCACAATTTAAGCACATCAGGGGAGGAAAGTGCCTCTTCTATAGCAGCATGCCTTTGTCTCCCTTATACTGTATGCAGGGTACCCACTCACACTATCTCTGAGTCCTCCTCTTGCACAGGCTCAGGATATTTACAAAGTGAGTACCCTTGCCCCCTGCTGAGTCACTTAAACTTGTAAACTTCTTAAATTGACATGATAAACAACATCCTAGAGGGGTAAGGGCCGTGTTGCTAGAGTATAGAATTGCAATTACTTAGTTAAGCTTTTAGACTTCTCAATGTGACATAAAATATCAACCATTACAACTGACATTACAATATTTCAATGAAGCCTCACACCTTAAGATATTTAGCCTCACTGGTGTGCAAGTAAATATTTAATAACTGACTCTAGAGGAAAAAATGAATTAGTACTGATGGCCAATATCTGTCATGTGAATTCTACCACTGATATCAAGCTGCTAATGAGATGTCATTGAACTTAAGACTGAAAAGAGATATGCAAACCATTATAAAGCCTTTCTACCACACAATTGGACATAAACAACCTCAAGGATAGGGGTAATCTTATCATAAGTAATAAAATAATTAGCAAGTAATGAATTTTGAGTCCTTATTTACTTTGTGATTAATATAATTTGTTTAATGTTAGATTTATATCATTTAATTATTAATGCTAGTTGCATTTAACAAATGGCATACAAAATTCTTGAAAATATAGCAATCAGTTTTTACCAACCTGGGAAGAGTTGGCCCTGAACCACCACTACAAGTATTCCACTTTCAAAGTAGATTTTCTCAAGGGAATAATGCTTAAAAGTGTTATCAGCAACTTCCACACTACTACAAAGGAAGACTGGGGGATAAGTTTTTAATAAAGCAGGGGGAAGGAACTGCAGGGACTCCGGTCCAGGGAGTGAATGCAGGGGAGCAAGATGAGGAAGGACTGGAGGCCCGCATTCATGCACGAGGCAGGGAAAAGCTTGTTTGTTGATTAAGAGGAAAAACATAAACCCAGCAACTGTACCAAAGACCATCTTGCTCTTAATACTTAACATTCATCATGGAAAGCATGATGGTTAAGCCAACTTGAACACCTTTATGTTAACAAACTATAAAATTTGCTGTCACAATTGTTTGGCCCTTTGTATAAGCAATATCTGAACTTGGAAAAAATAAATTTAAAATATTCCTCAGAATACCTGTAACTGACTCCCCTGTGATTTTTATTTTCACTGGCAGTAGCACATAAATTTCACTTTCCAAAATTAAAGTAGCTAAACGAAATTACCTTAGATGATTTAGGGTCTACTGCATGCTTTTCTCAAAACTCAGAATGATAGTAGATTTTTTTTCCTTGAAAATGAAAATAATTGTGTGTGTGTGTGTGTGTGTGTGTGTGTGTGCATTGTTCTTTCACAGAGCTGACCGAATCAGCAAAATGCAGACCATTCCCGGGATCCTGGACATCGCTGTGGACAACGTTCCTTTGGAACATCCAAGTATGATGATGACTTCAGAATTTGGTTATAGGGTTTTGAGCATTCAGTGGAGTTTTTTGTTCACTTGCTTGGTTAACTGATCAATTAAACTTTTCGAGTTTGTTTTGTTTTGTCCAAAATGGAAACTCATTATGGAAATGAAATTTGTCTTGGAGCTTCTTAGTTCTTTCCTTAGACAATGAGTACTGTAATAGCAGAATATTTATCTGGGATGTGTGAATCAGTGAAGAATAGCCAGGTGTTAAATTATGTCATTTAATCCTTAAAACCCTGGAGTAAATCAGGTTCAGACAGATGAATTAATGATATCCCATCGAGGGGATAATCTATATTCTGTCCAGTTCTCTGACTCAAAGCACAGGCTGACTCAGCCATACTGTGTAGCCAGAGGGCTGCTCTGAACCTTGGTGTAACCCCCACTGAGCGGCAAGCAAAGATTACAATGGAAATATTGCTAGATTCTGTTACGGCACAGAGAAGATCTGTGTTTTTTAAAATATATTCAAAAATCCTAGGTAGGTAAGGAAAACAATAGATTTTTAAAAATTTTTACTAGTGTATACCTGAAAATTTCAGAATTCAGAACAAGTTCAGGTTTTTTACTGTGTATAACAGCCAGGGAGAGAGTTGTTACCATGGAATATTTGAGTTGTCACTAGTTTTCCATTTTTATAATTTTCCACAAAGCATTTTAACACAAAATATAATTAACATTCTACATTAAGCCTTGACTCGAAATCATTTTATATTGATTAGTATGAAAAAGCAGAAAATAAACTAAGCCGTTTCCTCTACCTGACTTGAGAAGCTGGGGCTTCTATGACATATGGAAAAGAAAAACAATGAAAGAGAAAGCTAAATATTCTCTTTGAAAGAATGGTAGGACATTAGAGTAAGTCAAACATAAAATAAAATATTATGATTGATTTAGGGAAAAGCTGTGCTGTGACTCACAAGCACATGTCTATGTGCTTTAGTGAATACAGGAAGATGCCTTCTGGCTAAAATACTGTAAGCAGCCTTGCTGTCCTTCATTCCTATAGCGGAGCCTTCAGACTACTTAGTAACAGAAGGCTGATGTGTAAATTCCTACTGATCTCTCTGGTTTCTTAGTTATTCCTACAAGGTTATACTTTAAAATTTTATAAAGAGTGAAGAGAAATATAAAATATCCCATAACAAATAATGTCAGGAAGGCTCCAAGATCTTACTGTAGAATCATTTCACAGAGAATAATTAGTATTAATCTATCTGATACTAGCAATAATAAAACTAATAGGCAATTTTTTCTGTCATGTATCTGTATTTGTATTGTTTATATTAGTAACATAGCAAAGGTCAGTGGGTTATTCCTTATTTTATAATATCTAGTTAATATATACAGAGGATCATTTACTTTTTAAGTAAAACAATATGAAAATAGTTGTAAATACATCTAAAAGACACACCAGCTTTTTAGACATGAGTTTACTATTATATTTGTATTTTTTCTACTTAGCATGCGTACATCTTACAATTTTTATCCTGGCATCAAATAACATAGTTTGGTACACAAGTCGAAAGTTTATATTTTGAGTGCATTTGTGTTAAAATGTTAAGTATTAGTCACTTGTTAAAAGAACCATATTAAATGACAAACTCTTATTTTCTGATTTTTTAAGACTGTGTAACGTCGTCCTTTATCCCTGTCAAGCCTTTCAACGTGATGGCTCACTCAGAACCCACAGTGGAGGTGGAAGAATTTATTTATGACTCGACAAAGCACTGCCGTCCTTACAGAGTATACAAAAATCAAATTTACGTTTACCCCAAACACCTTAAATATGACAGCCAGAAATGTTTCAACAAGGTATGCGGTCAGCTTCTGACAGTAGCATCTTCTCTCACACAAGACGATACAAGTGCACCTCCACATTACTGGCCAGCATTTCAAATAGCAAATCATTTGGAGAAAATAGTAAGGAGCTATGTGACCCATCTTAGAATTGTGTAAAGATACACAGTTCAGAAATATGTTACTAATCTTGTCTGAAATCATCCCTAAATGAATCATATTTGAACCATTTTTTTAAGTTTCTTATAATATTCTGAAAACAATGTGGCTGCCCCTTTCAACATGAGCTTTTTTTTTCCTTTTGAAAGCTTTGTATATCCTTCTGCTATTTCTGAGCACTGTGTATAATGTCATAAGAAAATGTTGGTTAGTCTACGTTTTCCAGATTTAATAAGAAGCTACTTATTTTAGGCACTTATATTGTTTTAGAGTGTTTTTGAAAAAGAAACTACAATTTCCATTTTCCCCCACTGTCATTTCAGGCACGAAATATAACTGTGTGCATTGAATTCAGAAATTCTGACGAGGAAAGCGCCAAGCCTGTGAAGGTGAGTCAAGTCTGCAGGAGTCGGGCCTGAGGACGGAGGAAAGGTTCCGGGTTATTGGCAGGCTTTTAAAGTGCGTGTGGTTGAAAGAGGAACAATTTGATACATTTGCTTTTGATTTTCTGAAGTGTGGCTGATTTAATAGGCATCCTTAACTAAAGCTGTTAGAAAGGCCACTCTTGCAGTCCTCTTAGCTTTTCATGATTTGGAAACAAGGAAACCATTCTAATGTGAAATAAATGCAGAGATTACCCTCTGAAAGAAGATGCCCTTTGCAAATATTAACTGGGTTCTTGATTCTTCCTGTGTGATCTGAAATGCCACCCCTCGGCACTGTCTGTGTGCTCTGTGGGCACCATAGCATTGGCCTTGTGACTCAGGCAGTGGCCCAGGAGATTCTGGTGTTTAAGGATGGTGTGTATAGCCTGGTGCCTCAGGGACTGGAAGAAGGCACTGGGAATTCAGTCTCAGATGTCGATCACATGATCCAATAACATCAATAAGACCGCAAGGTTTGTATGAATTATTTGAAATTATAAAGTTGGAACTGAATGCATTTTTAGAGCTCACATTTGATATTTACTCTTTATGTTAAAGCTTCAAACAACATAAAATATAAAAATTGTGAGGAAATTGTTTTTAGAGGTCCTGCTGCCACATATTCCCAATTTCATTGAATCGGAGGACGGAGATAGTAAAAGACAAAGCTAATTGTGACTAAACTAACCCCACCATCATCTGAGACAGTATCCTAAAATAATCTGACAGGTGCGAATCATATCCTCTGAGGTATGCTACCAGGAAGGTTTGTAGTATTATTCAGAACAATGACTAGATAATGTCACACAGTGGAAAGAGAAAAAGTTCTTCAAAATCATCTTAGCCACTGCCATTGTCCCCAATACCAACCTCCACAAAAGCATTAACTTAAGGAGAGAAAATTAAGTGAAATGTAATTGTTGAACAAGGACAGTGAGCAGACATGCTCGGCCTCATAAAGTAGAGGTTTTATGCAAAAATTTCTCAGAAAGCAGAATAATCACAGGTGTGTAAGCCTCTTGTTGCACTGGATTCCACGCACCATACAGAGATACAGCAAGGTCAGATGCCAGACTCCAGGAAAAGGGTCTAAGCATTAGGCTAAAAGCGTTCTAAGATGCATAACTAGAAATTTCCACGTCCCATCCACTGGCTTGATTAGGGATGGAATAGATTAGTGTCACCATGTACTGGAGCCTGGAGCCAGACCTGTCCTGCCAGCTCAGCCTAAACAGGCGGAAGCCGCAGCACCCAGAACTAGGATCCAGACAGTCCTTGGACCTTAGTTGGACCTTAACTCTAGGACAGAGCTGATACGCTAACCCCTTCTGGAAGTCACGCTGCAGGAATCAGTCTTGAACAAGTTACCCTTACTTTATAATCAACGGTCAAGTTTTTGGCTCTGATGGAATTCCTATAAAATGAATAAGAACTCCCAGATCTCTAGCACCCCACTGTATAATAAATGCGGGGCGGCACACCCACAAAGTTCAAGGTTAATTGGAAGTTAGGTCAGCCTGGTTTGTTATCACAAAGTGTGCCTTGGTCTTGCGATTGGTAATGAAGGCTTATGACTATTTTTTAGCTATTTCAGAAAAACGTAATTATCCCCCTCATACATTGTTACACAGTGCATATATGGAAAACCTGGAGGGTCTCTCTTCACCTCAGCCGCCTACACAGCAGTTCTGCATCATTCCCAGAACCCGGATTTCTCTGATGAGGTAAGGGCCAGGTCTCTACTGCCTGTGCAGCTCTTAGCAAGGATAGGTGAGTGGATTTGATCAACACTCTGTCTAGATCATGCCTCAGACCAAGGATGGGCCTTGGCAGGTATGTGCTTACCAAGATTTATAAATGCCACCAATTGAGTTTCTCTTCCAGTATGTTACAAATTCGCACATTTGAGCACAGGATTGATTTTTTTTTTTTATTGTTTTGGTTTCTTCCAAGGAGACTATTATTTTTCTTTTGTTTCACTGGTCAGAATATTAACCTTCCTAACCATGGCAGCATTTGTGTCATAATGGAAAGACCAAAGGACTCGGGTGTGAGCTAACACCAGCCTTTCCATCCATTCAGATAAACTGAATGAACTTGCAGTCATCTATCTCATCACTGCAGGAACATCCCCTGCCCTGGCCGACTTGAGATCGCCTCAGTACATGCCAAGCCCCAGGCTGTATTCCACTTGCATTCCATCTCATTTACTTCCCAGAGCAGTTCTTACAAATAGCCACTATTACTACTTCCCTGCCAGAAAGAGGAGGGCTTTGCCAAAAACAAACAACTACTAAGCGACAACCAGAATTCAAAATAGTCCTTGTGATGACTGCAGACCACTCTGCTTCAGCACATGTAAAAACATCATTGGATCAATGGCAAATTACCATATACATGTTAGCATCTGTAATAAACAGCTCCACACAAACAAATTTCAGAGATTTCATTTAATTTCTAACCATAACATTCTGAAAGAATGCAACCTACTGATCTAATGCCAGGGATGAAAACACTCTGATCTTTTATGGTTAATTCCATTGATGCTAGAACACCTTGGCACCATGTAGTAGCTTAAAACAATACACATGTTATCGTATAGTTCTGAAGGTCAGAAAATGACGTGGCCACAGGACTGAAATTCAGGTGTCAGCAGAGCCACCTGCCTTCTGAAACCTGTAAGGGAGAATCTTTCCTTGCCATCCCCAGATTCTACAGACTCCACACTCCCTTTCTCTCTCCTCCTTTCTTGTGGTATCTTACCCTGCCCTCTGCTTTTGTTCTCACATCTCCACTGACTCTGAGTCTCCTGCCTTCCTTTTGTAGGGGCCTTTGTAATTATAGAGTGCTCACTTGTAAAGTCGGGATAATCGCCCATCGCACGGTCCCTAACGAAACAGGTCCATAAAGGCCCTTTTATCACGCAGGTTAGCACATTCACCGGCTCTGCATAGCGAGACCTGGAAGATGTGTTTGGGAAGCATTTTCCCATCCACTGCACCTTGCTGCCCATCAATTATTTTAAAGCTAACTATAAAAGCACCAATGAAACTGCCTGCCTGGATTTTCTTCCTACTTCTGTGTCCATTCAGTGCAAGTAATTTTCCTCTGTAAATTCAAGACAGAAGGCGAAAAGAAAATTAAGAAGAGCTATTACCATAATACCAAATATTTACTGTACAGATTGAGACTTTAGCCAAAACTATAAAAAAGTTGCATTCTTTGAAAAAATTGTATTTTTAAATCCTACTACTAATGTAGGTTTTTCATGCTTTTCATGCTCATGTACTTTCTAGAGTCCTCATAAAAGCTATGAGCTTTTCCACATGAGAACATGTGTATTATGAACAGCATGGTGGTCTCTCCAGTCCAGGTTTAAAATTAAGGTTTTGTTTTCTTAAATATGGCAAACATGGTTGCATTAATCACAAAAGTGAATATAAATTCTTCCAAGGCAGTTATAATAAAATATGAATATTTGCAGTATTTAAACAAAAGATGTTTTGATTAGCTTTTGTTTAACTGGAATTGTGGGATTTTTTTTTTTTTTTTTTTTGGTACTGGGGATTGAACTCACAACTGCGTGCTTGGCAAGGCAGGCCCTTATGCTGCTGAGCTAGATCCCCAGCCCTTTAACTGGAATTCTTGCATGCTGATTGCATTCCCATGTGGTCTTAATGAAGAAAAAAAAAAAAAAACTCTTTCTGTTGCATTGTTTATTACTGTGTATTTTGAAATATGTGTTGGCTTTGATAACTAGGTTAGCATATGATGTACAAAGCATATGTAAGCTTATAAACCATCCAAATTCAGGGATTCTCAGACTTAAGTCCACACATCAGAATTATCTGGAAAGCTTGTTGAAGCACAGATTACCCCAGATTTTGGTATTCAATATGTCTGGGTTGGGGACTGAGAGTCTGTGTTTCTAAACAAATTTCTAGTGACACTAAAACTGCTGTTCCAAAAACCACATGTGTAAAACTATTGCCTTAAATTCTTTCTTGAACACTGTGAAAATAAATTAGCTATATGCACGGGGCATCTAATAAAGCAGATGGTAGGTAATTTGCATGTTGTTGCTTGAGTTGACAGTTCTGAGAACTACTGCTGAGTTGCTGATACAGGGCTGAATACAGTCTACCCAATGGGATCTTGGAGTCAGCACAGAGCTCCTCAGAAAACATGGCTTTTTGTTCAGGGAGATCCTAGTACTAACAGTCCCACCCCCAAACCCCTAGCGTCTCTGACCTGTCCTTTTCACAAGGCAATGGGCAGTGTGCAATTAAATGATTTATCTGACAGGGCTTTTAAAACTGAGAGGCCCTATACATGTAGACAGTTATTTCAAAACATTTCTCTGCAGAAATATAAACTTACATATAATATAAATATTTTACATTTATTTATATTTATTAGAAGCATTATATATAAGTTACAGCATGATGTTTTGACGGAATGGTTCATTTTTTAGTAATCACAATATCATATTTAAATGTTTTATTATTTTTTGTTAAAGGAATAGATTCCAGGATTAAGTTACATCACTTACCATTTCCACATCTCTCAGCAGTGTGTGTATGAATTGCCTAGGGATCTTATTAAAATACAGATTTTGAGTCACTGTGACTGGGGTAGTGTCTGAGATTCTGCATTTTGAATGTGTTGTCAAACAGCACTCATGCAACTGGTTCACAACCTTGTTTAGGAAACAAGGACCTCCAGTTTGCTCAATTCATGTCCCTCAATGGTAGTTTCTTTATCTGTGATCTGTGACTTTCTTGCATTCTACAATTAGGTCTCTCTCTCTCTCTCTCTCTTTCTCTGTCTCTTCCTCCCTCCCTCCCTCCCTTCGCCTCCCTCTTTCTTTCTGTCTCTGTCTCTGTCTCTCTGTGTCTCTCTGTCTCTGTCTCTCTCTGTGTCTCTGAGTATGTGTGTATTTAAGCATGTATGTGATTAGTCCATACTTTAGTAACATAAATTATCTTAATGATAAACTCTAGGTATTCTGAATACATTACTTACTGTTAGCACAGATTTTTATTGAGAGTTAAATCAGTACATCCAATATTATAAAATGTGGGCACATTTTTTAGTTTGAAAATTTTTAAATACTGTGCGTTGTCTTGTGCTGACCATCGGCAAATTATTTTAACATCAGTCCAATGAGGATCTCTTTCATTGCAGGTGAAAATTGAGCTACCAACACAACTGCATGAGAAACACCATATTTTATTTTCTTTTTATCATGTCACATGTGACATCAATGCCAAAGCCAATGCCAAAAAGAAGGAGGCTCTGGAAACATCAGGTACTAACAGGGAGCAGTTGAGGTGATTTTATGTGTTATCCATCTGACTCCAGGTGGAAGGTATTTTTAAAAGTTCTGATTTATTGAACTGTTTAGTGAAGTTAATTGTTCACAAATCATAAATATCTTTAGTTTCATTCCTTGCCAGAGATGTTTGTATCCAAAATCTTTCTCTTTTTCCTTTGCACAGTTGGGTATGCTTGGCTTCCTTTGATGAAACACAATCAAATAGCTTCTCAAGAATATAATATCCCAATAGCAACAAGTCTGCCTCCTAACTATTTAAGCACTCAAGATCCTGCAAGTGGAAAGGTATTGAGTTATATATATATTGACTTAAGAGGAAAAATATCAGCTAAAAGGCATGAGGTTATCTTTTTTCCCTGCTACTTAAATCAGAACCACAGTGTTCACAGCTTTTGTGCTTATGAATGGAGTTTGCCTACAATATTACAAGTCTTATTTAGTTATGGCTACTAGAAATGGACTACCAAAAATAATTCCCTGATATTGTATTGGTCTCCTCTATCAGTATTACCAAATATATTTGCATCTTGCCTTTCCTGTCTCATAGCAATAGTAAAAATAGCATAAACTAAACTTTCTTTTTTATTATTCTGAATTATCACAATGACAGTAAGAAATTGTTTTCTTGCAGCATGGTGGGAGTGACATTAAATGGGTTGATGGTGGCAAACCACTCTTCAAAGTAGCAACTTTTGTCGTATCAACAGTGAACACTCAGGTGAGTAGGTCACTCGGAAATCTGAACACCTTCTCCAACCCAAAGAATCATAACAGAGCTCCTTCTGCCTGCATAAGATGAGATTGGTCATTCCATGAGAGGTCAGAAGCGCAGGTGGTACAAGACTAACAAGGCAGATGTTTGGGGTATAGTTCTGTGTCTCTCTGAAGATACAGTCTCCTAAGTCCATGAGCCCAGATGTCATAAACATCAGATCAAAATACTGGATCTGCATTTGACATGTTGAAACTTCCTTTGCAGTATAATTTCTTCCACTAATAACATTCAGACATTGAAATTAAATATTAAGAATGAAAACTTCGGCTATATACTACAAAATTAAGTATCATTTCAGCACTTACCCAGGGCCATGAGACTGGCAAAAGTTTACTTGAGAATCACTTCAATTTCTGACTTAGTGACCCTAGACAAATTAATTAATCCACGCTCTCATCATTATTTCCTCAGCAAGGAACTACGTCAATAAACTATCTCTGCTTAAGGTTGCACTGAAGATAAAAACAATTTCACCAACAATATGCTGTTTAAACATATGTAATTATTATTATCATCATTGAATCACCACAGGGTGAAGTGTCCTTGGATATGAATTATAAACTACAAAGCAAATTGTTGTAAATATATACAATATGAATTTCTTCTTAAGTTCAATATGCATCTACTTTTCCATTTTTTTTCGGGCTCCTTTATCGCTAGCCCATACTTGGTTGCTAAGAAAAGTGAAATAGCATTTACTGTTAGAGATAGTTTGGTACATATAATTTGTAGAATTATCTTGTAATATTCACCCAAAAAAGGCAAATTCAGAAGAGTTTAAGAGATCTGTCAGCATACTAGAGATGCAAGGAATAAAGCCAAGGGCCTGGATCTCATTGCAGTGTCCCACATGAGTCTAGCCAAGAGGCCTGGAGCCCACAGCAGTATCTTTATGTGTTCATGTTAAGAGGCTGAGGACTCCATGATGGAAGACTGAAGGATCTATGCCAGAAAGCCCAAGGGCTAGTACTAGAGGCCAGAGAATCTGTTCCAAGAGCCTGAGAAGGGGCTGTGCCAGAAGGCCAAGAGATCTGCACTAGACCCAGAAAGCGACATTCAAGATGAAAGTGAGAAGCAGAGCTCCCTGGAAAAGAGCAGCACCATCCTGGTGAAAGGGATGACCTGAGTTCCCCTGACAAGGAGAACTGAAATCCTGTCAGGAAAATCAGGCTCAACAAAGCTTCTCCTAGGAAATTAGCAGTGTGCAACCTTCTCCTCCCATTATCCTTTTATGCCATTCTGACAGCAATCATCAGGTGGGTGTTCTATGCTCAGAACCACACTGCCTCAGTTCAGATGGGTGTTCACACTCAAAGTGACTGTTAGTTAATGCACCACAGTTAATATATATATACGTATGGTCCAAATTTCAGTAGTCTCTGATATTTGAAGGCAGATTTAGTCCTCCTGCCCAGTTCTTTACCCACAACCCATTAAACTCATAATTCTCTGATGCCAACAGCCCTAGTCAGATTTCACAAAATGGTCCATCTCCAGGAAACTCTGTTTTACTTATCTCACATTCTCCTGGGTTGCCCTTTGTAAGGATTAACACAGGTCTCCCTCTAACTCATCCCATGCATCCTTTCTCTATGCCCATGTCTACCATCTACACATTCTCAGAACTTACTTCCATTTCTAGGTGCAAAAGACTCTGCTCTGTCCTGTGCCTTTCAGCCACAACGCATCCACTGCTTCCCCCAATATCACTTTGATACTAATAATTCCTTGATCAGGAAGGCCATGCCTCTGTCTCTCTTCTTTTCTTCCTGTCATTGGTCTCCATCAGTTCACACCAATCCTTCATATATCGCTCAACTCTCACTTCCTCCAAGAAACCTTGGCTGTTCCCTGATCTCACAGACAAAGCTGAGCTGTCTTATTATGTACCCTGATGGCATCCTGCTTTTTGTGTGAAGCTTTTATCCAATCATGATTAAATTGGGTGGATGAAAGTCATGGCACGGTGCTGGTCTCCTGGATGTAATGAAAGGGCCACATAGCAGAAGTCAATTTTGCCTTCCAAGGGTTGATAGAAGGTTAAATTTCAATTAATAATGTTGTGGGTTAATCAAAGAAATCATATTTAAAAGGAAACAGCTGTCTTTAACTAAGAAAAGAACTACAGCTAGAAAACAGAAAACACACACACACACACACACACACACCAGCCTGAGTGGAATCCATGCCTCAGATACTGTTCTGGAATGTTCACTGCCAATGAAACATGTAGAGTGATTTTAGCTCTGCTGATCTAGCTCACTTCCTAACTGTGTAACTCAGTGCAGAAGTTAGACAATTCTGGAATAGTCTTCAAGGGTAAGATTTGGTTTTTGGTTTTGGTGTTTTGTTTTGTTTTTCAGTAATGAGAATTAAACTCAGGGACTTCTCACTGAGCTGTATCCCCACTTTTATTTATTTCTTTCCTTCTTTCTTCTTTCCTCCTTTCTTCCTTTATTTTTAAATCTTGAGATAAACCCTTGCCAAGACGGGGCTCAAACCTGTGACCTCCTGCCTCAGCTTTCAAGAGTGCTGGGGTTATAGGCCTGCACCAGTTGAAAATCACATAATCTTTTTTTAATGGACTTCCTACTATCAAGCTGACTCAGACATGTTAAGCTTGAAAATGTCCCTATGCAAGTTAAAAAGTACACGGCCTCATATGTGTTCAATAACTTATAAAAGAAATTGGTAGAATGTTATGGAAGAAGCAGAAATGGGAAAACACAGGTAATGTGAAAAAGCAGCAGAGCTACAGGAAGCGATTCTCCAGCCACGGTGCCTTACAGGAACGACACCTAGAAAGAGCTGACTTTGTCAGCTGGAGGGAGCTTCACAGGTCCCAAAGTTCCCAGGACACTGGGCGCTTTGTTTCTGACTTCACAGCACAGCCCTGCATGTGAGCTCCAGTCCTGCAGAAGCACCCAGCTGTCAGCAACATGAATATTTGCAACACAATCTGTGTGTCATGAGAAACAAGTATTTCCTTGCTGTTGCAGGATCCACATGTGAACGCATTTTTCCATCAGTGCCAAAAAAGAGAGAAAGACATGTCTCAGTCACCTACCTCGAATTTCGTCCGTTCTTGTAAGGTAACATGATGTACAAATAGTTTTGGCGGTCTCCGGAGTAAAAATGGGCAACAGAGATGTTTCATTTTTCACTGAGTAGCAAATAAAGAGATGTTTAAATACCATATCAATTCAGAGAGTAAAGCATTAAATTTCATAATTTCTAAGTAGCTGTGTCTGTTGATTAGAAAAAAGAAATATCAGGGGTTTTTTTTCCTAAAATAAATATGAAAAACAGAATCTACTGTTGTAAGCTACTGCTGTTGACTGGAGTTCTCCCCACATCACCTTCAGGCCCACGTGCCAAGCTCACTGCAGCGAAGATAAAGCAGATAAAGAGGAGTTGTGAAATTTATGCTCTAGTTCGAAGATACACGAGCAGAATAAGCTCTACTATTTTTTCTTATTATTTGTTTCATAAATTTAAATTATACATGTACAGCATGATGTTTGGAGACACAGTACAACGTATAACAGCTGTCAGGTTTTTGTTTGTTTGTTTGTTTGTTTTGTTTTGTCTTTTTGAGATAGGGTCTCGCTATGAGGGTCAGGCTGGCCTTGGGCTCACTTTGCAGCCCAGGCTGGTCTCAAAGTTGCAACGATCCACCTGCCTCAGCCTGCCAACTGCTGGGATTACAGGAGTGCCCATTGGTCTAGGGCTATGATTTTCAGTTTGGGTCTGACAGCTGTCAATTTTTGTGGTGAGAGCACTGCTCTCATCTGGCCTTTTACACCAGCATAATATCCTCCAGGTTCACCAATATTGTTGCAAGTAACAGTTATTTCCTTCCTTCTTGAGACAGAATAGTGAGCTATTATATAAAATGCTATATTTTCTTATCCTTCCATCCACTGATGGATGCTTAAGTTGATTCCATATATTGACTTATGAATAATAGTGCAGATAGATTTCTGATGTCCTGATTTTATATCTTTTGGATATCTACATAGCAATGGATTTGCTATCATGTGGTAGTTTATTTTAATTTTTTTGAGGAACCGTCATTGCTGTTTTCAGTAATGACTGTACTGATTTAAATTCCTGCTAGCACTGTGTAAAGGTTCCTTTTCTCTGCATCTGCAGTAATACTTGTCATCTGTCTTTGTTTTTGATGCTATGGATAGAAAGCAGTCTTGTTAATTAGCTTCTCTTTTCTATTATTTTAGTCTTGAGACAGCTTCCTAAATTGCTAAGTTGCCCATGTTGTGCTATAATTTAGGATTCTCTGCCCTCAGCATTTTAGAGTGCTGAGATTATAGGTGTACACCATCATGTCTGGTGTCATTTGTCTTGTAATAATAGCCATTCTGTTTTTTGGCATGCTTTGCTTTATTTTGATTATTTGTTTTATTTTGTTTTTTGTTTTGAGACAGGGTCTCACTATGTTCAAGGCAGGCTGGCCTTGAACTCCTGCCTCTGCTTCTCAAGTGCTGGGATTATAAGCTTGTACCACCATGCCTGGCTAATTATAGCCATTCTCCCAGGGATGAGGCAATAATCTTACTGTGGTTTTTTGCATTTATGTGATGATTAATTATACTGAACAGTTTTTTTTTCTTTGCTTGTTGGCTGTTACTGGATTTGGAGGGGGGGTCTCTAGAAATAGCTACTTAGGTTTTTGACCTATATTTTTTAAAAATTGGGTTATCTATTTGCTCTGGAGTTGTTGGAGTGCCTTATATATTTTAGACATAGATCCAATAATAGATGAATACCTTACAAATGATTTCTCCTAATTTATAAATTGTGTCTAACTTTGTTGATTGTTCCCTTGCCTATGAAGAAGCTTTGTATCGTGATGTGGTTTATTTTAACTTGATTACCTATACTTTTAGGATCATGTACAAAAAAATATTATTTTCCTAGATCACTGTCCAAAGCTTTCGCTCTATGTTTTCTAGAAATATTAGAACTCAGTTCTTGAATTTAAGCCTTTAATCCAGAACAATACTTTAAATTTATTAAGTATCTTTTTCTGCCAATTTACTACAGAATTTGTTGAACGTCGACAAGATACATACAATCATGAGTTTTCTGCCTATAATCTTGAATCAGCTCTTCAAAGTTTTGGTACAAAATGAGGAGGATGAAATAAGTACAACTGTCACCAGGTACCCATAAAACCCCTGGAGAAGAGATTTTATAACCTTGCCAACATACAATCTACTTTAACTCAATAATCATGTTCTGGTATAGGTTTATAATTCATTTGGATGTTTGTATCAGTCTTAAGTATTTATCACTCTTGAAGTTTTACTTTCTAATAACTTATTATGATCATTAGTAACATGCTAGACTTCTTTCACTTTGTGTGTTAAAAATAATTTCTTTTGAAACATGCAACTAAAAGACTTAATATGGAAAGACTGGTCTATGATTTACTCAGTTTCCCTCATGGGGGAAATATATACGAAGCTACACAATCATAATTTTTTGCTGTTGACTTTGATGCTCATCATAATCCTCCAAAGATTGGTCCAGGTTGTTCATTTATCAATAATTTATTCCTTGATGAATATTACTCTCTGATATGAACATACTGTAGTGTTATTCTAGCAGTTCACTTGTTGAAAGACATCTGGATTGTTACCAGGTGGGACTATTATGAATAAACCCCACAAATCCCCCTATAAAATATACTGAGTAGCTGTATTGTTTTACATTCCCAAATGAACTTTTTAAAAAACAATAAGCATTTTGTTAACTACTTTCATTTTAAATTTGATTGCACTAGTCAAATCACTAATGTGGGTAGTGATGAAATCATAATTTCCTTTTATAGAGGTAGTGTCTTGAATTAATGATTTACTGTTACATTCCTATTGGTAATGTTTGAAAGTCTTTGCATTCTGAAAAAAGAATTACTATGGGCATTGAAAGGGTTATAACATCTTCCTTACAGGAATATTGTCTTTTCCAAAATTAGAGCTCTTAACCTAGTTTTTTAAGGTAGAGACCTGTAGTTCTGGAAAATGAAAGTGTCTCTAACAATTTCAAAGCCAGAGATTAAAAGCAAGTTTGAAACTAGCCTGGCAATATAGGAAGACCTTGTCTAAAAAGAATCAAAAACTACATCTCAGCCTAATGCTTTTTCCCAAAAGTGCATATTATGCCTATAGGTTGGAAGGCATGCCCCTTTAAAATAAAATGTGACTTTAATCAGAAGTCAAAAGTCTTAATTTTTTATTAGGTGCTAAAAATGATTCCTTTTCCATGAAGACAGCGTCAGCAAATGCAAAGACTATAATTGGTTCATTGAACTCAAGCACAAAGCTTCCAGTGGGATATCATAATCAAAAGACTTATAGCTTAGTGTTCACAATTTCTAAGATTAGAAATGCATCACAGATATTGCATATAATAAATGCCCACTACTGGGAGCGGAAAGCAGGTTGAAAGCAGGACATTTGCTCATTCATTCGTTTACTCACTATTATGTGCCTGCTTGCACAAAGCGCTCTAAGGACAAAGTCTGCCTTCTTGAGAAAGACCACTGAGCAGTTTTGCTTTTCCAGGGTTCTGACCGACATTGTGGCCAAATGTCACGAGGAGCAACTGGATCACTCTGTCCAGGCATACATTAAGGTATGAAGCTCCCCTCAGTTCTTGTTCATATCCCATGTTGCATGCTTCATCTTGTTTCCTGTCCGCAATCAGTGGGAAGCTCTTTCCCCATAACTGGACAGTGCCCACCCACCATAGTTAAAACAAGAATCCCTCTTAGTGGCATTAATGGGCTGGAAATATTGCTTAAATATGTAAAGGCTGTGTGTTGATGCAAATGAAGATTAAAATGGGGAGAGAGGAACAAAAAGAATAGAGAAAAATGAAGAGTTGTCCTTTTGAAATTACCATTACAAACATGTGAAATTCCTATGCTAAAACAAGAAAGACTTGCGCTATGGGTTTGTTGAACGTGCTGCGCTTCTTCCGTAATGATTTCTTAGCTCCTCTTATTGTTTTTCTCAGGCATTATTCAATTTTCCCAGTTACTGTATCTTTGTACCTGCTTCTGGTATGTTAAGTCCTTTATCTTCCGGCATGAACCACTTGTCCATTCCATCAGTGTGCACTGCTTCCTCAGCGTCCTCCGTCCAGTGTTCACTTGGAGATGCTTCTATGCTCATTTCCAGTTGGCCTGTGAATCACTGCCAGTGAACTTGTGATGCTGTTTGCACTTTCATAGCTCCTCCCTACATGTCCTGTCATGGATTGAAAGGCAGACCCCATCCAAAGACACTTACAGAAGACCGACATTTCTATTTGCATAGATTTTATCTTTTTGAGAAATGGACTTTTTAACTTAAGAGAATATATCCTGTTAATATATATGAATGTTTACACTTATACATTCTAGATGTCTAGAAATGTTAGAGAACAATTGTGCTAGAAACTTGATTTGTAAAGTAGTAATAGTTACTGTTACTATTCCCAGTGCACCTGTAGAAGAATAGAACTAAAAATTACATTCTGTAGTACCGGTCTGTATGAAAAATTTTTTTTCATTACAATCTTATATCTATATATTTTCTACATGCTAGAAATAATGGCTGTCTTCCCTAAATACAAAAACATTAGTGTGTGCCTTTCCTTAAAATAGCCTTTGTAACAAAAAATAATCGGTTACTTTACAATGATTTTCCTAAAGGATAGTTTCACCTGATAAGACCCACAGTTTAATTGTAAAAGGCCAATTCCAAACACAAATGGCTTTTGAGTTTTTCTCTTTTGCAGAGAAGGGGTCATAGCTTACTTTTGTAGGGTACTGATGACTTTATCATTCAGCAGTGTTATCTGACAAACGTCCCACTTTTCCATTTCAATCTCTTATGGCATTGAGAGGACAAAATAATTCCTTAACACATTTTTCACACAAACAGCCTTATTTTCAACCCAAGTGTTTTTTTATTCTTTTCAGTGAAATTACTGGAAATTACTAAGAATCCTCTGGTACTGTGATTGTCTGACCCAGGCAAGGCTAGTTGGTTGTGAGGACCTCAGATCCTCAGCTATTCTGTGATAGCATTGAAGAGACATTTTGCAGATGCATATTTTCATGGTCTTTAGTTTTAATCAGAACATCTGAAATCTCCTGACAAGGCCATTTTACTTTACAGTATAGGAGATCGATCACTTAGTTTTAAAGTGTTTTGAATTCACTTTATGTAGAATTTCAGGTTGATAGTGACTCCTTTGGATGTTTAAAAATATATTTTAAATATATAAAACAAATTCTTTCTAGAAAAAATTCAACTGCCTTAAACTTTACTCTGGAAAGAGTACTAAACCTGCAAGAGAGAGACTAGGGTATAGCAAAGGTTAAATTGTTAACTTGAGCAGCTAGCCTTGCTAAACTTCAGTTTCCTGTTCTGTGAAGTAAGATGAGATGGATCAAATCACAGGTGACAGCCTGACCTTGACCAGAGTCTGAATTTTTTACTCCAGTTAGGAAAACAATTCTTTAACCTTTTAGGTAGATATAAAGCCCCACAATAAGAAACATAGTGAAAACTGATGGACTGGTTTCAACGCCTACTTGGATATACGTGAAAGATGTGCTATTCAGTGTAATGTATGTTTTTTCAGAAGTAATTAAAACACCATTTCAAGTTCAGTGGTGCTAAATGCTGCTAACTCACTCCATCAACAATATCCAAACTGCATACATGTTTCTTTCAAAGCTGTGTACCCTAAGTCAGTCTCATTAAAGGCCATAGTTTCCAGCAATTTATAGTACTGACAGGTCCTTCCAGTCAATTTTTCAAATAACAGTATTTCATCTCTGGTTGAAATACCCTTTGTCTCAATAACTGTACAGGAAATTAAATAGTTGGTGATGACCGTTACCTCCCTGTGAGGCATAATCCACAAAGGGAAGAATTGTGTTGCTCTTGGTTTGAGCTGGTTTCACGGGTCCATTAGCTCTGTGTTTCACCTTTGAGACCAGCTTTCAAAACTCCAGCTCCAGCTGTGGTGCTGATGTTCTAGAGTTCACAGGAGCGACAGATCCAGCAATGAATACGCCTTTGCTCTGAGCCGGTCTCTTACCTGCTGTCCCTTCCAATTATAGTGAAGTTGCAGCAAACCCAATTGATAAGTAAAATATTATAGTTTAAATTGTAATTTAAAGCTAGCATTTTATATTTAAAATATATGCATGTTCTTAAAAGACATGACGCAATTCTGAATGAAGCCAACTGAGCATTTCTGAATTGCCCAGTAAACTTTTGTGGTAAAAATATAAGCAACATTCGTTATCTTACTTATGGCGGGTGTGTGTGAACCTCATGACAGCTGTGTCTAAGCATGGAATGGTAGACCCTGGGCTTTGGGAGCTCACCTACTCGCCTCTAGAAGGCACTAGCTTCCCCACTTGGCTATTTGAGTAGGTGCTCTACCCTTTCAGGATGAAGAATTGCTATCATGCCACGCGTTACAAGTGGAAGGAAGAAGGGGAAATGTGTCCTAAGTAAGTGGGTCAAAGCCCTCCGTGATGCCTTGACCATGTTAAATGGCTCTTTCTCTTGATTTCTGCAAAGAGAGTTTCAAGGAGAGTTTAGATGAGCATGGCTCTACTCGTGCGAAGCCCTCAATAGGAACAGGCGTGTACCTGAGCCTTCATGTATTTAATGATGAAATCTAGCATGAGAAATAACTTTGAAAAATCAGTTATTCATGTGGCATAATTTCTGAGGCTTTGTTTTTTGAAGTGATTCACTTTTTGGGTTTCTTCAGTTCGTGTTCAAGACCAGTGCATACAAGGAGAGAACAATACATGAAGAACTGGCTAAAAATGTGGCTGGCCTCCTGAAATCAAATGACTCAACAACAGTAAAGCATGTCCTGAAGGTAAGTAGTTCAAAGACAGTCCGTTAATTCTCTTACTCCTGGAAGTTAACAAGACTCATTGATTTAACAGATCATTTCTGACATAACCTTCCTTTTGAAATTATAGCATATAAAAACATTAAGCAATGAAAATCTGTTTTAAGAGACCCTGAAAAAAAAATAGATTGTACCCAAGTTAAGTGCCTCAACCTAAAGGAGTGACTATTGAACATGATCTAAAACATTGAAAAATGTCAAGTGTTGCACAAAGAAAGTTTGTTGGATCCATTTGACACTTTAACAGGAAAAATACGAAGAAAAGGATCAATGATGTTTTAATGAGTATACAGGCCACAGGGAAAAGGTAGAGCAAAAGGCATTTTCCATCTAAAAAAAGCTGAAACACATGGAGTAACATAAAGTAAAATGGTGAGGACTGAGAGTGTGGTTCAGGGCTGTGTGCTGGTCTCCATGGGCAAGGCCCTGGGTTTGATCCTGAGCATGGCCTAAAAGAAAGGATTGTGGGAAGCTTATAAAGTAACTCTAAATTATTACAGAATCATGGCTTTAGACCCAAGCTAAATTTAGTTATCTATTGTGCCTTGACAGATGAACAATTGATCAGTAAATAGCTACAAAGAGAACCTGGGGTCAAAACACATCAGTATGAGTTTACTAAAATTAAATTATTGTAGGCTATGGGATTTGTTTGAATTAGCGATGTGTCTATATCATCTATTGATTGTGTTTATTCAACAAGTATAATATATATATATATATCTTTTTAAGAAAAGTTCTCGCTATATGGTTCATGTGGGCCTTGGGCTCACTTTGTAGCCCAGGCTGGCCTCGAACTTGCAACAATCTGCCTGCCTCAGCCTCGCAAGTGCTGGGATTATAGGAGTGTGCCACCATGCCGGGCTCAACAAATGTATTTTAATGCCTTCTTTGCAACAGGCATTTTGGATATATTTTAAAATAAAATAATAATTACTGCCTTTGGGAGTGTTTTAGTTACTTTTCTCTTGCTGAGACAAAGCACCCAATGCCCACACGTTAAAAGAGGAAAGGTTTATTTAGCTCAGTTTCAGTCCAGAGTTGACTGCCTCCAGGGCAGAGTAGTACATAGCAGAGGACAACAATTCATGGCAGCAGAAGACAACAAAAGTAAGCAAGAGAAGAGAGAAGACAAGCCTTTTTCTGTCCCATCTATCACCCTGGGGTGGGTATAGCACTCACACCCTTAACCCCAGCCTTGGACCATAAATCAGTCACAGACTCTAGAGTCAGCTGCCTCTGAAAAGCCTACACCCATGACTGCGTGGGCTTTAGGAGGACATCTACACACAAACCATAGCAGAGAGCTTACATTCTACTGGGAGATAAAAACAATAAACTACAGATTTAGTTGGCTAATAAATTATGAGGTATATCAGAAGGTGAGAAGTAGTACTGGAAAAGAATATGCAAAGCAGTAAGGAATGACTGGACATGCTGAGGGTCAGGGGTGAGATGTGAAGGGTCAGTAGAGGGGGCAGGACAGAGCGTAGGGAGAGGGTAGCTCCTGCGCGCAGAGTAGATCAGAGATCCTAGAGCTGACTGCAAGGGAATGTTAGAGGACAGTGGAGGAGGAGGAGCAGAAAACCTTGCTTAGGTCAGAGGTAGCCGCACAGCAAGAAGGTTTGCAAGAGGTCGCCATGAAGCAAGAAGAAAGGGGGCCTTTTTTGAGACAATCAAGAAACTAAAATGCCTGGTGTGTTCTTTTACCATAACTCTGACAAAGATCACTATTTAGTTTCAAGTAATACATCTTAGCATGACAATGTTGTGATATTACATATTGTAAACACAGTTTTATTATTATTTTATTATCATACCATAGGATGATAATTTCCTTATCGCCTTTTTGGTTTCCTAACAGCATTCCTGGTTCTTTTTTGCAATTATCCTAAAATCAATGGCACAGCACCTGGTTGACACAAATAAAATTCAGGTAAGATTAGAGATAATATTGTAATGTGATATCTAACAATTACACTGATGAACATGTTCTCATTTAGCTCCATTTTTATTGGCTTTGTAAACTTTAGCAATTTATGTTAACTGCTTTTTCAGTGTGAGAAATAGTGATGTAGGTCAGTGCAAGCCCACTTAGAAACAGATTCCAGAATAATATTAGGAGTACAAAAGATTACTGTAAAAAAAATAGCTATAAAGGACAAAAGAGACAGAAGAGAAAATAGGAGAGTCTGATACCTGTGAAAGAAAATAGGGAAGGAAAAATGACTAGCTAAACAAAGCCTGCCAGTGAGCAAGAGTTAGCCAGGCCAGTGGGCACTTTTAGAGCAAAGACTGATTAAGGATTCCCACCATGGGCAGATGGTCTGGCCCTAGGATCTCTGCCAGCCCACTGAGTGGGAGCAGCTGGTGGGCAGAAGGCCACATTGGCACGAGCATTTGATTAGATCCTAAAATGAATTCTTCCCAGTTTATTCTCTCTTAAGGGGACATCTGAGCTATGCCCAGCCTACAGTTCACATGGCCACACTGCACGCGTTGCACGTGTTCCTGAATCTGCTCCCCACCGCCCGTGCCGGCCTCTCATCCTGAAAGGAAACAGATGAGGGAAGCTAGTGCGATTGGTCACGGCTGCTGTAATGGCAGTCAGTACCTTTGTCACATCCCTCCTCTGCAATCCAGTCTACATTCCCTCAGCCTTGCTCACAGCTCTGCAGGCTCTTGGGATCCACCTGACTATGGGACCCACAGCCACCTTCCAGAGCTGTCTCACCATCAGGTCATCACACCCTACCCAGGCCAGGGTTGCTGCATGGACAATTCACAATGACAGTTGGGTAGAAAGGACCAGGAAGCACCCATGGCACCATTTATGTGCCCCACGTATTCCTCTTAGTTCCCACTGGGATGAGGCCCATGGGAGACTCTTGCATTTGATAATAACCCCGATCAGGAGGGTAAATCAACAGCATTGCTTAGGGGGAGGATGATGGGAACTAGTGACACTATACTGGTTTATTTTCCCGCTTGTGAAGAGGTAGTGTCAACACTTCTACCTGGTTGTCCACCTGTCTGGCTCCAGTAAACAAAAACCCAGGGCAGTGCTACTCCAAGGACCAATTTTGTCACTGTAAACTATACATTTGGGACAAGGTAAATGACTATTGGGTGTATCTTTGCATCTAGTGGACTTGTTGTTAACAGAACATTAGTCAGGACTCCACTTTGAACCCCTGTAAGGCTCAGCTCTAACAGAGTAAACATGGTGATGCTTTGGTTTCCATTGTTAACTCATGACCTATGTCCACCAGTACTTGAAATGCATGAGTATTCCCTCTCCCCAGGCCACAGTAGACTGAGTAAATGGTTACCAGGCCCTTTGCAGAAGAACTGAGAAAAGCACCATAGTATATGTTCTGTTTAGTATCGAATCATAGCTTTCCTTTAGGGGCTCTGCCTCCTCTTGGGTCAGTGTGTACCAGATCTGAAAGTTGATTCGGGACTAGGAGCAGAGAAAGAAATTGGAATGTTTTATCAGCATGAACACCCTCATCTTCTAATTGTCCAGTCTTGCCTTCTTTGTGGATGTGATTGTGACACTTTGTTTAGACCCTCGAGATTCCACACAGCATTAACCTACTCTACAAGTCCCCAAGAGTCAGAGCTCCTTGGTGGAACATCCAGCTTTGTTATTTACTATAATTGCAGCCCCAGCTCTGGGAGATTAAGCACAACACATGGCCCCTTTTAGTGTTGTGATGCATTATCCCCATGGCTACCAATGAGTCAACATGTAACTGCTTATCCTACAAATAGGAAGGAGACACCGCCAGACATCTTAGTGATGTAGATTCCCTATACCCCCTTGATGGCCACAGTGTATGACATGTCTTCTGGGCTTTCCTTGGGAACTACATACTCCAGCAGATTTTCCTGTATCATTGAACACCCACTCCAACATGTCCACGTCCCACCTTCTCTTTGCCCTCTCTCTTTTGCCAGAACACCTCAAACATTTCAAATTTTGGTTCCATTGTCTATTCCAAGAATTCCAAAAGCCACTCTTAAGAGTGAGTTGTCTATCTTCAGAGGTCTTACTTGATTCTTGGTCCTGAAAAATCCCTTTGCTTTTTACAGTCTACCTTTGATCAAACAGCCTCACTATTCAGTACCAAAAATGTTCTCTGGCTCCTGCTAGCTAATTGTTATGAGCTTTTAGTATCCTCTCCCATTCTTTATTAGGCCCAGCAAATGTACAGTTTTTTAGCCTGATCCTTAGGGATAGAGGTAAGTCACCTCGCAGAAGGTTTTTCCCTATTTCCTTCCAAGGACTAGACCTTACAGTGTCTTTTCTTTGGGAGAAGAGCTGATTGCTAACAGGGGAGGATTAGAGTTAAGAGAACCACTGAGAGTTAAGAGAAGTGCCGAGGGCCACCTGTTTGGGGTCAGCTGCCCAGAGGGTTCTGCCCATGCTTCCAGACCCCAGGTGTTTCCAACTCTGTCCTCGACCTCAGAGTGACAGAAACTCTGTACCTTTAATCAACTCTGCAGTTCCATCTTTTCACTCTGACCTATGTTTGCTTTTTGGCTGAATCACCTCCAGAGGTAAGAGTCTCCTACCTGGGGGGATGAAAAAAATCTTCTACAAAGATCAGAGTAATTCCTGTCTCCTTGACCTGAAGCCAGGTTGGGATCAGAAATCCCTTTCTTGACCCTCTCTTTCAGGGGCTTTCCTCCCAATTTTCCTACCCTGGATCATAGGAAAATATTCAGTATCATCATTTGTTTCAAAAGCATTCACCTTAAACCTCTCCAAGGCTATTTGTACTTTTCAAATTATGAAATGAATGGCTTTCTCCATCATTAGGAAAATAGTACTCATCAGTTTCAGGAGTGCAGGAGGTCTAAGGGAGTCAAGAGAGATGTATAGGTTTGATCCCCTGGACCTGCAGTGTAGTTAAGCAGATGATGTCCCGCATCTGACTCCAGCTACCCTGGACAAGGTGAGTTCTGCCCTCACCTGTGTGTTCTCAATCTGATAGCCAGTAGAGACCTTCTGGTATCTTGTAGTGGCCACACCTTGTATTCTGCATCACAGATTTTATTCCTAACAAAATTTCTGTACACCTAAAATCCAGCCCCCACATCCAGGACCTATTCCTTATGACAGTGGTCATGGCCCAGGTTCTCCTCCCTATTCCAGCTTCATCCCCACTTCATGCCCTCTCTTCACTTCTTTGTTTTCCTGCCCCGAAGCAGGTAATTTCACATCTCTGGTACAGGTTTTCCTCCACTTCTTGTCTTTGTGGTATTCTGGGGGACAGTTGAAAATATTCCTAGTGAATTTATCAGATCCTGTGTATTTGGGTTGAGTTGCAGCGGACTACAAGAATAATTTGAAGGGTAGGCACACAGAGGAATAACAAAGGGAATGTGGAATTGAAGAGACTAATACATGCCCCTGTGCACTGAATGTGGCATTGATACACTTAATGGACACAATTGTGTCCTGATGAGTGGAAAAGTGATTGTTGCTTTCCTATAGATGAATTATTCATCTTTATTGTCCAAGGTATATGGAACAGATTGAAAATAATGTATGTGATCATCTTAGTTACTTTTCTCTCATTGCTGAGACAAACACTTGTTCACATTTAAGGAGGGAAAGGTTTATTTAGCTCACAGTTTGTGAAGGTTTCAGTCCATAAACAGCTGACTCCAAAGCAGGGCAACATGGCAGAGGAACAACAGTTTATGACTGTGGAAGACAGCAAGAGCAAAAGACGTAAATGGGAAACCTTTTCCCTTCCTTATATTGTACGCAGACTACCTCACCTTGGGGTGGGTGTAGCACTCACACCATCTCTATGCCTTCCTCTTGCACAGGCTCAGGATGTTTACAATTAAGGAGCCTGGCCCCTTGCTGAATTGCTTAAACCTCTAAACTTCTCAAGTTGGCACAATGTATCAACTACTAAAAGATTAATTAAATTAGATTGATTTGTGATTAATTCAACTGATTTCAACAATAAATTGTAATACAAAGAGTAAATTCCAACATGGAAGGCTGGGTGCTCATAATTTATCCATGTATAACTTTAGCTGAGTGAAGCAGTGCACACCATAATACCAGCACTGAAGAGGCTGAGAAGAGAAGATTGCCCCAAGTACAAGGCCAGCCTGGCCTACATAGTGAGTTAAAGTCAGACTGAACTACATGGCAAGATCCTGTTAGACTGAATGAATGAAAGAAAGAAAGGGCTCTACACCCAGGAAACTCAGCTGGTGGCTGAAGTGAGTCTGTGTACCATCGAGCCCCGAGCCCTGGGAGAATTTAAAATCATTGCCCCAGGAGCTCAAGGACCTGCCCAGAGCCCAGCCACACCAGGTTTCAGGTTTCAGGCCTGAACATGACAATGAAAACTGACATTAAGATTAGTGAAGCATATGGACTCCAAATAGCCATAACCAAAATAAAACTACACCCAGACATATAATAATCACCATCCCAGAAATCCAACATGAGAATAGAATACTAAAAGTTGTCAGAGAGAAAAGACAGATCACCTATAAAGGAAATCAGAATCACAGCAGCCTTCTCAACACAAAAGATGAAGTCAAGAACAGCATGGAGTGAAATATTTCAGATCCTAAAGGAAAATGATTTTCAACCTAGACTGATGTGCCCTGAAAAACTGTCCTTCAAAAGGGATGAACAAAAAGATACTTCCATGCCAAAGAACAGCTGAAAAACTTCATGAACACGAAGCCAACCTTACAAAGAATACTCAAAGACAGTCTAGATATGCATGGGAAGAAACCACTAAGCAAGGTAGACAATTAAACAGAATGAAAAGATAAACATGAAACAGCAGAAAGATAACATGTCAACAATAAGCCAATATATAATAGTTACAACCATTAATGTAAATGATCTCAATTCAACAATTAAAAGAAACAGACTGCCAGAATGGA